TTTGCTTTGTCGTGCCCAGTAAAAGGCCAGCGCTCGTCAGTAGGCGGAGGGTTACTGGCGAGCGCAATCTCTAGAGAGATCCCTTCAGACTCTTGCACTACTCTACCTGTGCATCTTCAGTGGTCCAGTTCATCTGTCTCCTGCTCTGCCATGATCGACTCTGGGGCCGAGGGAAATTTCGTGGATGAGGAGTGGGCCCGGCAGCAGGGTATTCCCCTCACCTGTTTAAAGCATTCAACCCCCCTTTTCGCCCTAGACGGTAGTTCCCTACCTAGGGTTCTAAGTGAGACCGTTCCACTGACTCTTACCGTTTCTGGTAATCATCGAGAGACTATTTCTTTTCTTGTTTTTCGTTCGCCCTTTACTCAAGTAGTATTAGGCCATCCCTGGCTTAAACGTCATAATCCCCATATCGATTGGTCCCTTAGCTCTATCTTGTCTTGGAAGTTATCGTGTCATGTTGATTGTCTTGTGTCTGCTGTTCCTCCTGTGTCTTCTGTTTCTGTGTTTCAGGAAGAGGCAGGGGATTTGTCTGGAGTACCGGAGGAGTATCACGATTTGCGGGAGGTATTCAGTCGTTCCCGGGCCACTTCTCTCCCTCCTCACCGCCCCTACGATTGTGGTATTGAGCTTCTCCCGGGTACCACGCCCCCTCGGGGAAGACTTTATTCCCTCTCGGCTCCTGAGCGGGAGGCGTTAGAGAATTATTTGTCGGACTCTCTCAAGGCGGGCACAATTGTCCCGTCCTCGTCTCCGGCCGGTGCGGGTTTTTTCTTCGTCAAGAAAAAAGACGGCTCTTTGCGTCCCTGCATAGATTATCGGGGGCTGAATGACATCACGGTTAAGAACCGCTATCCCTTACCACTGATGTCTTCAGTTTTCGAGATCTTGCAGGGAGCAAAGATTTTTTCTAAGCTTGATCTTCGCAATGCTTACCATCTCGTACGAATTAAAGAGGGGGACGAGTGGAAGACCGCTTTTAATACACCCCTCGGGCACTTTGAATACCGGGTCCTTCCGTTCGGTTTGGTCAACGCCCCCGCCGTCTTTCAAGCCCTTGTCAACGATGTCCTTCGGGATATGCTAAACGTGTTCGTGTTTGTGTATCTCGATGACATATTGATTTTCTCACCCTCCCTCCAAGTCCATGTGCAGCATGTACGCCGCGTACTTCAGCGCTTACTCGAGAATCGCCTCTTTGTAAAGGCTGAGAAATGCTCTTTTCACGTGCCTTCCGTTACATTCTTAGGTTCGGTCATCTCGGCTGAGGGAATCAGTATGGATTCGTCTAAGGTCCAGGCGGTAGTTGACTGGCCCGTTCCTGATTCTCGTGTCGCGTTACAGCGCTTTCTTGGATTTGCTAATTTTTATCGCCGCTTTATACGCAATTTCAGTCAAGTAGCCGCGCCGCTCACCGCCCTGACCTCAGTTAAGTCCTGTTTTAGGTGGTCAGAATCCGCTCAAGAGGCTTTTGACCGTCTAAAGGTTCTCTTTACCACCGCACCCATTCTGATCATGCCGGATATCACTAGACAGTTTATTGTCGAGGTCGACGCGTCGGAGGTAGGGGTAGGCGCCGTTCTTTCTCAGCGGTCAGCCTCCGATAACAAGGTACATCCTTGCGCTTTTTTTTCGCACCGTCTGTCTTCCGCGGAACGTAATTACGATGTCGGCAATCGGGAACTGCTCGCCATTCGTCTGGCTTTAGGCGAATGGCGCCAGTGGTTGGAGGGTTCCTCCGTTCCTTTTGTCGTCTGGACCGACCATCGAAATTTAGAATACATCCGTTCCGCAAAGAGACTGAACGCACGCCAGGCTCGTTGGTCGCTGTTTTTCACGCGCTTCGACTTCTCCATCTCTTATCGGCCCGGGTCCAAGAATGTTAAACCGGACGCGCTGTCTCGCCTCTTTGGGTCCTCCTCCTCTTCTTCCACCCGGGAGGAGATTATTCCCCCTGGTCGTGTGGTGGGAGCGGCGATTTGGGGAATCGAGAGACAGGTGAAGCGTGCTCTTTCCCATGCCGTCACTCCGCGAGATTGTCCTAGGGGCTCTTTATTCGTTCCGGTGCCCACTCGCCTAGCCGTCCTTCAGTGGGGACATTCTTCCAAATTGTCAGCCCACCCCGGCGTTCGGGGCACTATCGCGCTTATTCGCCAACGCTTTTGGTGGCCCACCTTAGTACATGACGCGCGCCGTTTTATCGCTTCTTGTTCTGTCTGTGCCCAGACCAAGGCTGGTAATTCTCCGCCCGCTGGTCTGTTACGCCCGCTACCAGTTCCTACTCGTCCGTGGTCTCATATAGCGCTCGACTTTATCACGGGTCTCCCTGCTTCGGCCGGTAATACCGTCATTCTTACTGTGGTCGACCGTTTTTCGAAGTCCGCGCACTTCATTCCTCTCGCCAAGCTTCCCTCTGCCAAGGAGACCGCCCAGATTATGGTTAATCATGTTTTCAGATTGCACGGTTTGCCCACCGACGTCGTCTCTGATAGGGGCCCGCAATTCTCATCACAATTCTGGAAAGAATTTTGTCGCCTTATTGGTGCCACTGTCAGCCTCTCTTCGGGGTTTCATCCCCAGACTAACGGTCAGGCCGAACGTGCCAATCAGATTGTGGCCCGCATTCTCCGCAGTCTGGCGTTCCGTAATCCTGCGTCTTGGGCTGAGCAGCTTCCCTGGGCAGAATATTCCCACAATTCTCTCCCATCTGCTGCCACGGGGCTCTCACCCTTTCATTGTTGTCTCGGCTACCAACCTCCGCTTTTTCCCTCGCAAGAGACAGAGTCTAACTGTCCCTCCGTTCAGACGTTCATCAGTCGCTGCAAGCGAACTTGGAGGAGAGTGAGATCGTCCCTTTGTCGTGCTAGGAGACGTATGAGCATCTCGGCTAATAAGTATCGCATTAAGAGTCCCCGCTATTGTGTTGGCCAGAGAGTGTGGCTCTCCACTTCCAATTTACCTCTTCAGTCCGACTCTCGCAAGTTGGCTCCCGTTTTATCGGGCCATTCCGTATAGTCAAGATTATTAATCCTGTCGCCGTCAAGCTTCATTTACCTCCCAACCTTCGTCGCATCCACCCGGTTTTCCACGTCTCCTGCGTTAAGCCCGTCAATCGCTCGACTTCTCGTACCGCGTTCTCGGCAGTCCGTGTGGAGGATTCTCCTGTCTATACTGTCCGTAAGATCTTGGATATGCGTCGTCGGGGTCGAGGACATCAGTACCTGGTCGATTGGGAGGGGTACGGGCCTGAGGAGAGAAGCTGGGTTTCCCCCCGGGACATCCTGGACCCCTCGCTCATTGATGATTTCCTCCGGTCTCGCCAGGGTTCCTCCTAGGGAGCGCCAGGTGGCGCTCTTTGAGGAGGGGGTACTGTCATGATCCTGGCTCGTTCTCTGTCTCCCCCTGCTGGTTATTCGTTCACTCACTCACTTGCCGCTTTCACTTTCATTACTGACAGCTGTTATCACTTTTCATTAGGCTCATCTCTCTTCACCTGTCTCTCGTTCCCCCCCCTCATTATCTTGGCTTTTTCTTACCTTCTCTTCCTTGTCTTGTTGTCAGTTTGTTTGTAAGTTTTGATGCATGCAGATGTCTAAGTCCAGTCCAGTCTAGAAGCATATCTCTGATGACTTCGAGTGTAATTCTGCTCCAGCTCTCTGCTCATCTTTGCCTGAACCACAGAGGGAGTTTTCTGTTCAAGTTCGACTGCCTGTTCTACAGGAGCCTTATGTTGCTGATTTATATTATTCCTCTGTTACAAGTTACCTGTGGTCATCCTACCATAACCATTAAAGGAGCTGTGATTGTCACCCTCGCTTCTGAGTCCTCTCTAAATCCATCACAGAAGTAATGGGATAGTGGAATAAAGTCGTTATTTATGTTTTTTTCGCACAAAAAGTAGTCTCGTCGCTTGATAAACTTATAATTGAGCCGCTGTAGGCACATGGAATATTTAAACCTTTTCTTTAATGACTTTATGGGCTGTCAAGACGAGCCAGTCCCTTAGGCAGTCGATCTAGGACTGATCCATAGACATATAGACCTCACCTTGGGGTTCTAAGCATGCGTCAAAACCGCCGCCATCTTGGAACAGGGGTCTTGTCATAGGAAGTAGCTAGGTAACGCTGCTATCTCTGCCTTTACTTCGAATTCATTGATGGTGGCGGACTTTTGTGCAGCATATGAAGTTCACAGATGAAATCTGAACTAGGAAGAATGTTTTTAAAAAAATTAAAAAAAAAAAAAAATTCTTTCTGGAATCAATGATAAATACATGTCTGACCGTTGGAACAAACCAAAAAAACAAGAAAAATCGCATTCATGATGATTTATGGTGATTTTATTTGCGTTAGACCTGTGTCTACTACATTGACGCTGAAGGAGGGGCTCCCCTGTTTCAAGATGGCGGCTCTATTGACGCATTCGTTCTAATGAACTGCCGTATCCAAGGTGAGGTCTAGTGCATATGTCTATGGGACTGATCCAGCTCTCAGATTCAATCAAAAATATCTTTATTTGTGTTCCGAAGATGAACGAAGGTCTTACGGGGTTGGTACAGCATGGGGGTGAGTAATTAATGACTTAATTTTCATTTTTGGGTGAACTAACCCTTTAATACTTATTATGCGTTTGGCGCCTCAAAATACATACTTTTGAAAATGGGTTTCAAAGTGCAAGTTTTTGAAAACGATATCATTATAGTCTCCGTGTAAAAAAACCCCAGAATACCTACATTTGTGAAAACGGTGTTGTAATGCACATGCGTATAGAGAACCCCCTTAGCTTCGGCTAACTGCATAAATGTGAATATAAAATTTGTCCAGTAAATTAACTGTAAAAAATTAATGATTAATGATTTTGGTCAAAATTTGTTTCATTATTTAATTCAAGTGAATCTTTTTCTTTAATAAATGTTTATATCTAGAAAATACAAATTCACATTTTAGAATCCCAAATTTGCAAACATCCTATAAAATGAAACGGAAAATAAAACAGCTCAGTTCAGTTTGATCTCCTGAGGTTGACAATCAACACTTTTATTTAAATCTTACATTGGGATACAGATTACAGAACATACCCTGCCTGACCAAAAGAGAAAAAGAGTCGCTGTTCAGATTCAAATAGGCCAATTCTTAAGAGTCTATGATTGGATCATTTTATTGCTCTGATTATTATGTTTGGCAACAGCTCTAGATTTCATTTCTGAAACAACCATGTATAAAAAAGACACACCATTGCCATATTCCAGGATGACAATATCAAGACTCAAATTGTTAAAGAATGGGTGGGGGGAGCATGAAGAATCATTTCCACGTTTATTGTGTGTAGATTATATTACATTCACTTTCCTGTGGCCCAGAGGCGTGAAAATACCAACAGATTTGATATTCACACATTATTTTGTATGAAAGTCAGTGAAACAGAGGGCAGTGGATCTCGCTCAGGGCTAAATGGGGGGAACAGGGGTCACGGGGGGTCACGACTGAACAGGTTTCAGGCTGACGGAGCCGAGACAGAGGCCTGCTGAGTTACAGACTAACATGACCCCCTTAAAAATGAACAAATACAGCATTGCACAGTTATCTTCATAGAGTCACATCAGGAACTAATCTAAGTAGTGAGAACACCAGAGAGAAAGACACATATCAAAACTCACTCAGAAATAAGTACAGAATCTGCATCAGAAATGAAATATGACACATAAGTTTGATTATTTCCAAACCATGAATCTTCAAGTCCACATGCAAAGGCTTCATTACTGCAACTATAGCAGAGAAACAGTGATGAAGAATAACAACAGTTCTTTTGACAATAATTCATCTCTGCTAACGTCTTCTAATTACCACTGAGTCGTTTTTTTATTCGTTCCCCAGTTAATAATAATAATAACTACAAATGCATAATGCATAACAATATAATGCATACAAATATTGTCTGTAATATTATGTGGAGTGTGGAAAACGTTTGCTGGTACTCACTGATATGTAGGAAACTCTGCCCTCTGGTTCCAGTGTGGAGTAATGCAGCGCTCCAAGGTGCAGTCGGCTCTGGAACAGCACACACTCCTGCTTCAGTCTACGGTACTGACACACTGATACCGACGGCCAGATTTACTGAACAGGGCAAACTAGCATGAGCTCGCAAACCCCCCCAAAAAAAGTGCTGATGAGAGTGGAAAGTTCTGCATATGATGACGACACACACCGTCGGATCATTCCCATAATGACCATTACAATCTCCCGAGAGCAGCGAGAGAGTCAAACTTTTTTTTTTTCAAATTATTTTGATGAAATGATTGTTCAAAATTTTAGTTCGATGATATATTTTTATTAAATATTTTGTATTTTTAGGGGATTTTATGGTACTAAATTAAACTTATGCAGTAGTTATAATACATTTATTCACTTGTTGAGCATGGAACTTAAAGGGATAATTCACTTTGAAGTTAATTTTTAATATGTTTTATCTTACCTCAAGTGCATCCAAGATGTAGGTGTCTTTGTTTCCACAGTATTTTCAATTTTGATATTTTTAGGTCAAACCGTTCTTGTCTGTCAGTCATATAATGGAGGTCTATGGTCACCACCTCAAAGAGCATGCACAGAGAAGTCCAGATTAAACATGATTTAATGACTCGTAAATGTAAGTACACATTGATGGCCTAAGACACGAAACGAGCGGCTTGTGAGAAAACAAACAGAATTTGTATAGTTTTATTATCGTTTTTACCCCTTATCTTATTGTATCGTTTTTACAAGAGGTAAAAACGGAAAAAAAAAAATACTGTTGGTTTTCTCACACAAACCGCTCGTTTCGTGTCTTCGGCCATCAATGTGTACTTACATTTACGAGTCATTAAATCATGTTTAATCTGGACTTCTCTGTGCATGCTCTTTGAGGTGGTGACCATAGACCTCCATTATATGACTGACAGACAAGAACGGTTTGACCGAAAAATATCAAAATTGAAAATATTGCGGAAACAAAGACACCTACATCTTGGATGCCCTTGAGGTAAGATAAAACATACCAAAAATTAATTTCAAAGTGAACTATCCCTTTAAATGTTGAATGCATTAAAGCATATACTTGAGTTTGGTCTCTTTTTAAAGAAGATAATTGGCAGATTATTGCTGAAGTGAAAAAAAAATTTAAAAAGTGATATTAAAAGTTATCAAATTTTACATTTATTGTTCAAACAATACAAAAAAAAATTAAATGTATTTGTATTTTATGATATATATATATATATATAACATAAAACACAAATACATTTAAATTTATATGTTTAAATTTGAATTTATAAATAAATTTTAATTTATATATATATATTCCCCAAAACATGTTTCACTCTTAAAATGTGAGAAAATCAAAGCCAAATCTAAACAAGTCGTTTCAAATTTGAGGTTGATGTCTCAAAAAACGAGTTTGTTTGGCTGCTGTACCAAACATTTCCACTGGATGAAATTCAACTTCTATTAATTTCCAATGCGTTCATTTTTGACCACGAAAAATACAGGTGTAAATATTTTTTTTTTTTCAGGACAATTTAACCTTTTCGAATTATGTCTATGATGTTTGTGTGTGTGTGTGTGTGTTTGTTCACAGCTTTACCAAGTTTTGTACCATTTTGATTAAGTAAAAAAAAAAGGTCCTTCAAATGCATTTGCAATAAGATCAGCCACAAAAAATAACCCTGTCCACGACTTTACAGTGCTAATTCTTCACTGTGTGTCTTTAATAAGTCCTGACAGTAGTTTTGTAACGCCAAAGCGGTTTGTGCTGGTGAAGCTGTTCATAAATCTGGCCCCAAGTGTGCAAAACCATTGTTCACCACCACCACCACCACCACCCCCAGAAACCCCCTCCACAACTCAGACAAAATGAAAAATCTGCCATTATTTATCACCAGTTTGCATTTTTTAATTACATTTTAAATTATATATTTTTATACAAATGTTTACATTATATACATATTATATGTAAAATTCATGTTTGTTTTATAGTGCATTTTTTGGAGCTCATTGTCACTGTTTCGGAAGCAAATATATTTATTTCTTAAAGAAATGTTTGGGCAGAATTTTCATTTTTGGGTGAATTATACCTATAAATTATACCTATATAGACACGAGAATGAGATTTGGGGGCACAATTCATTTTTGTGTAACATATTCATTCAAAGTCTAATGTACATCTCTACACACCGTGAAACGAACAAACTCCCGATAGTTTAATAATGGATTAGTACATGCGCATGGCTCACACTCCAGAGCGCTGATTTGTATAACAAACACTTCCTGTTATCAGAAATCCATCATCTGTACATGTGCAAAAACAATCACCACAGAACTCCCAGATAACATCTAGACCAAACCTCCTTTGTTTAGGGAGAATCGGTGAAGCTGAACCGAATCAGTTCTGTGTGAGTCAACTAGCCTGTTGAATCTCTGGAATGAGAACCACAGCATGAGGAAAGACAGAGCAGAATCTATTCATCATCCGTGACGTCTCCGCTTCCTCCCGTTACCCTGATGTAGTGCCCGCCCTGACCCCCGCTGGCTCCACAGCTGCAGAGTCGCCGAGCGAACCGAGACTCGATCTCCTCCAGGCGCAGACCCTTGGTCTCCGGCAGACAGCCCAGCACAAACACAAAGCCCAGCACAGCCAGACTGCAGTACAGGAAGAACGCGCCTGGACAGAAGATCATCTTCACACTTCAACAACTGTACAAGTGTAAACCACAATCCTATCATTTATGGTTTGTTCACCCAAAAATGAAAATGATGTCATTAATGACTCCCCCTCATGTCGTCCCAAGACCTCCGTTCATCTTCAGAGCACAGTTTAAGATATTTTAGATTTAGTCTGAGAGTTTTCTGTCCCTCCATTGGAAATGTGTGTCCGGTATACTGTCCTTGTCCAGAAAGTTAATAAAGACATCATCAAAGTAGTCCACGTGACATCAGTGGGTTAGTTACAATGTTTTGAAGCATCGAATGGTCCAAAAATAACAAAAACTACGACTTTATTCAGCATTGTATTGTCTTCGGTTCTGTTGTGGATCCGCGTTCAGTGACGCTGCTAACGTGTGTTTGGTGCGGCTGAGACGCACGCTGTACAAAACAATCTTCACACACGTCTAAGGATTTCCACACAGAGAAACACTTGCATTTTTGCCCAGCCATATTTATTTGAACCCGAATACACGGACGCACCAGACACACGTCAGCCGCGTCTTACGTCAGCAGCGTCACTGAACGCGGATCCACAACAGAACCGAAGACAATACAATGCTGAATAAAGTCGTAGTTTTTGTTATTTTTGGACCATTCGATGCTTCAAAACATTGTAACTAACCCACTGATGTCACATGACTACTTTGATGATTTCTGGACAAGGTACATACATTTCCAATGGAGGGACAGAAAGCTCTCGGACGGGCTTGGAACGACATGAGGGGGATTCATTAATGACATCATTTTGATTTTTGGGTGAACTAACCCTTTAAATTGTGTTGTTTGCCAAGTAAAGCATCATTACTATTATTAAGGTGATGGATTTTAACTAGTAGTTTCAGAGTTGATCCTTGAATATCTGATTCTGGGGCTCAGGTCAGGAAGCAACACGGTCCCACAGAGACTCTTTCACCTGGATATCATCATATAGAGACTGTGTCTGTTCCCCAAACCCATTTAAGGGTAAAAATGTAATTGATGTTCAACAAATAAAAAATAGCTATAATACAATAAAGCTTGGGTTGCTGAAAATTCGATCCCTTACTTCAAAAGCACTTATTGTTAATGATATGATGAGAGATTATAACCTAGATGTTTGACAGAAACCTGGCTAAAACGTTATTAGATAGGACTGTTCTACATAGAAAGTGGACAGTAATGAAAAGGCATTAGTGTATGCTGTGTGATTGATGTCCAGTGTTTCCATATATATATATATATATATATATATATTAGTGCTGTCAAACGATTAAAATATTTAATCGTGATTAATCGCATTAATGTGTCATAGTTAACTCGCGATTAATCACATTAATGTCATAGTTAACTCCCGATTTATCGCTTTAATGTCATAGCTAACTCACGATTAATCACATTCATGTCATAGTTAACTCGCGATTTATTGCATTAATGTCATAGTTAACTCACGATTAATCACATTCATGTCATAGTTAACTCGCGATTTATCGCATTAATGTCATAGCTAACTCACGATTAATCACATTCATGTCATAGTTAACTCGCGATTAATCACATTCATGTCATAGTTAACTCGTGATTTATTGCATTAATGTCATAGTTAACTCGCGATTAATCACATTCATGTCATAGTTAACTCGCGATTTATCGCTTTAATGTCATAGCTAACTCACGATTAATCACATTCATGTCATAGTTAACTCGCGATTAATCACATTCATGTCATAGTTAACTCGTGATTTATCACATTAATGTCATAGCTAACTCACGATTAATCACATTCATGTCATAGTTAACTCGTGATTTATTGCATTAATGTCATAGCTAACTCGCGATTAATCACATTCATGTCATAGTTAACTCGTGATTTATTGCATTAATGTCATAGCTAACTCGCGATTAATCACATTAATGTCATAGTTAACTCGCGATTAATCACATTAATGTCATAGTTAACTCACGATTAATCGCATTAATGTCATAGTTGGCCCGCGATTAACCGCATTAATGTCATACTTAACTCACGATTAATCGCATTAATGTCATAGTTTACTCGCGATTAATCACATTAATGTCATAGTTAACTCACGATTAATCGCATTAATGTCATAGTTTACTCGCGATTAATCACATTAATGCCATAGTTAGCTAGCGATTAATTGCATTAATGTCATAGTTGACTTACGATTAATCGCATTAATGCCATAGGTAGCTAGTGATTAATCACATTAATGTCATAGTTAGCTCGCGATTAATTGCATTAATGTCATAGTTAGCTCGCGATTAATCATATTAATGTCATTATTAACTTGCGATTAATCGCATCAATGTCATAGTTAACTCGCAATTAATCGCAGTAATGTCATAGTTAACTCGCGATTAATCATATTAATGTCATAGTTAACTCGCGATTAATCGCATTTATGTCATAGTTAACTCGCGATTAATCGCAGTAATGTCATGGTTAACTCGCGATTAATCGCAGTAATGTCATGGTTAACTCGCGATTAATCGCAGTAATGTCATGGTTAACTCGTGATTAATCGCACATTTATTCTAAATGTCTCTTGATTTATTTTTGTCCCATTAGTTTTTTTCTCTTTTCAATGCTCTTATCAACATGGAAAAGTGGATTGGCTTGCTTTGTGCAAATGTTTTTTTATTGACAACAACATTGGCGTATACTGTGTTCAATTTCACACTAACATTCTCACTTGGAGCAAATAATCTCTCACACAATGTAACACTGTCCATCAATAAAAGGGTGAAAGAAATACTGACGAGGTCCTGATTTTGACGAGGGGGCGGAGAAGTCGCATCATCTGTGTGTGTGTGTCTGTGTGTGTGCTTGGCCATCATCAAGCGGTATTTCAGACTGGATGTGCTGCGATGATGATAGATCAGTTCACAACGACAAAACACACAGATCACTTTGGTCTTGTCAATTGAACCATTTGGCAACTTTTTAAAAGTAAACTTTCCATTCAGGATCTTATTAGCATCCATTTCGGCGTCTCGCGTTAGTCATACACTCAAAACGTAACGTTAATCAAATTTGGCCGGCTCGCAAGCCCAAACGAGTGTGTGCCAGTTGTTTTGTTTCCGGTCTAGCTAAATCCGCTTGCGCTTTGGTCGACGAAGCAACAAAACGTCCTCGTGCGGCGCAAGCCATTGAAATGAATGGGGTTCAGAGCGCAGCGTGCACATGCCGCGTCCTGTTGCAAAAGCATGTGAAAAAAACTACAAAGTTTGCTATGCCAAAAAGACCGTTAATCACGTGCTAAAAATATTGATGCCGTTAAAATGAGTTTGTGTTAACGCCGTTAATAACGCGTTTAACTGACAGCCCTAATATATATATATATATATAGCGTTGGATTTTCTCCTCAGTGTCGAGGTTACGAAGCCCATCTATCACTGTTTTCCATGTTCGTAGAGATAGTTTGTGGTGTAAATATATAGACTATAATCTGTGCGTTTACACAGCTTTTTAAAAAATGGTGCTGGTGTTTTGTGCGCGTTCGGCCAATCAGCGAACACTATCGTCATGTATAGCTCCTATAGTGCTGGTTTAGACCAACTCTGACGTAGGAATAAATTAGTTCCTACAAAAGAGTTCCTCGAACTAAATTCGTTCCCAGTTCCTGCGGTGCGAACGCGCCAGAATCCGGGTACTTCCACCAATATTTTAAGGTTCCTCTGGTGCGAAAGACATTCAGAGGCTCCCTAGTGAACGTGATTGTCATTCGATTTTTATTATTTATAAATGTTTGCATTCATTAATCATTGGTGTGTTTTGTGGTGTATTGCGTCACTGGATTCCAGCGAGCACGAGTAGCAGAATGCATGAGTACCTAAATGCTGTGTTCAGTGTTGTGTGTGTGTGTGTGTGTCCTGTGTTGTACCGTAGTACGTGAGGTACTGGGCCACATGGAGAAAGGTCAGAGACACAAGGACGTTGCAGATCCAGTTGACCCCGGCAGAGCAGGCGTTCCCAGTACTGCGAGCCCACAGCGGGTAGATCTCAGAGTTCACCGTCCAGGGCATCGGACCCATTCCTGCTCACACACACAACCTGACATCAGTGCCTGCAGACGCCTCGAACTTCATCAACAGTTCCTTACACTACCGAGAGAGCTCTCACCCGGGGCAAAGAAGGCCAGATACAGGACGAGGCCCAGCAGAACGATCCAGGAGTAGGACGTCGGGCAGTAGTTATAGGCCCAGAATAACCCTGCGCTCTCCTGTGTGCCGTTAGAACACCTCCAAAAAACAACACAACACTTAATCAGACTACTATTTAATACTGCTAATTTAAGGAACATTTAGGTTACGTTCCTTTTAATAAATCATATGTACCCTTGTGGGAATGAAGGTCACTTTAGTTTACTTTAAAAAAAGGAGTAGTATGGAAATATGACACTTTAAAAAGGTAATACTTAAGTGTGAACTGAATGTAATGTCATTAGACACTTAATTGCACGTAATGTAGTACATTTAAAATATTTGATCTGTATTTAAATGTGATATCAAATAACAAACTGCAGTTAAAATGACAATCAAGCATGTTACATGTGCTACACATTAAAAAAGTGCACTCTTGACAAAATATTATTAAACTATTGTTTAAAACCACTTTTAGTTTGACATTATGAAGTACACTTGTCATTTAAGAGTGTGGGGAACGTAAATACACTTTTATGTCATTAATACTCTATCATTTGCAAGTACAGTTTTGATTTGATATAAGTGCACATTTGGTACAATTAAGTTGGAAGTGCACTCGTTTCCCCCAAAAGTCAGCAATATGAACCGACGTTTCACCTGCCCACTGCAGAGGTCTCAGTGTTGGCCGGAGACACAGACACACACGAGGACTCGACCACTGACGTGCCGTTCACACCGTAACAGAAACCACAAGCTGGATCCAGCATGCAGGATTCACAGAACCTTCACAGACACAAACCCCGGTCACTACAACATGCCACGTACAACATTCAAGATTCAGAGTTTTACAAACGCAACTCTTAAAGGGACAGTTCACTTTGAAATTAATTTTTGGTATGTTTTATCTTACCTCAAGGGCATCCAAGATGTAGGTGTCTTTGTTTCCACAGTATTTTCAATTTTGATATTTTTAGGTCAACTGTTGTGGTCTATCAGTCATATAATGGGGGTCTATGGTCACCACCTCAAAGAGCATGCACAGAGAAGTCCAGATTAAACATGATTTAATGACTCGTAAATGTAAGTACACATTGATGGTCTAAGACACGAAACGAGCGGTTTGTGTGAGAAAACGAACAGTATTTATATCGTTTTTACCTCTTGTAACCACAGCCACGTCCAAGTGATCTGAGGGCGAGGGCGCTTCGGTTTGCGCAAGCACCGGAAGTTATCTTTTGCGCGGTTACAAAAAAAAAAAAATCAACGTTGTCTGTTGATATTTTGAAATAGTCTTTCATTGCGATTTCCTGTATATCTAAATATGTTTAGATCTTCACAGTGAAGGGTAACACTTCTGAAATCTGTGTAAACAATGAGTGACGCACACGCGCGAGAGATCACTTGGACGTGGCTGTGGTTACAAGAGGTAAAAACGATATAAATACTGTTCGTTTTCTCACACAAACCGCTCGTTTCGTGTCTTCGGCCATCAATGTGTACTTACATTTACAAGTCATTAAATCATGTTTAATCTGGACTTCTCTGTGTATGCTCTTTGAGGTGGTGACCATAGACCTCCATTATATGACTGACAGACAAGAACGATTTGACCTAAAAAAATATCAAAATTGAAAATACTGTGGAAACAAAGACACCTACATCTTGGATGCCCTTGAGGTAAGATAAAACATAACAAAAATTAATTTCAAAGTGAACTATCTCTTTAAAATCCACATTATAAACAATTGCATATAAATCGTTCAAAATACATCTAAAGGCATAGCACACACCACAATAAAAAGTCATCGTTTACTTGCCCTCCTTTTATTTCAAAAGTGAATGACTTTGTAAATGATGATAGAATTTTCATTGTTTTCTATTCCTTTAAGTTCAGTAGAAGCACACAAGTGTGACTTCAACATTTGCTAAACTGAAAAAAGATTCGTTCATTTTGATGAACGAGTTCGAACAGGAGAGTCACGAACGCGCATCACAGAACAGAGCAAGGTGAGCATTTGAGCTTATAAAACTTAAACTTTGTTATTTATTTATTAAATAACCAATTGTTTCTCTTGATAAGACCCTTATTCATCGCCTGGAATCGTTTAAAGCCCTTTGAACAGTTTGCACTGAAACTCTCATTTGGATCTTGAACCGTTTGGTTCCCATTGAAGTCCATTATATGGAGAAAAAATCTTCATCAAAAACCTTAATTTCTTTTCAACTGAAGAAAGAATGACATGGACATCTTGGATGACATGGGGGTGAGTAAATTATCAGCAGTCAGTGTGTCTGGTTATGACATGGACTAACACACAAACTGCCTCTATATTTGTATAAATCTGAACATTAAACAGTTATCTTCAAACATGTTAAATGGTATATTTTTTGTGATCCAGGTCCAATCCTTAGGTCAATCTAGTCTACTACGACGTAAAACTCACCCATAATGAATGCATGTGGAGTTGTGGAGGGAGTCAGTAGGGTGAAAGGTCACGGGTGGAGACGCCTGAGCCGACAGCAGAAACCCAGCAGCGAGAACCATCAGACTTACAGCAGTTCCTGAGGAATTCACAGCAAGCCCTCATTACAACATACTTCAATTAATTACAAACACACTTCAATTTTTATGTGTTTTCAGGGATATTTTGGCTTCATTTTTCTACAGACGAGTCGGCCATCTTTGTTACAGTCTATGGTAAGTGTGTGCTTCTGAATCCTCACCTAGTATGCTTCCTAGAGTCAGCTTCCTGCGGCCCACCCTCTCCACGAGCCAAACGCCCAGCAGAGTAAACATGAAGTTGGTGAAGGCCGTGGCGGCCGCCAGCCAGATGGCCATGTGATCGTCCCGCACGCCAGACATCTGAATAATGGTGGCACTGTAGTACCTGTAGACCACATCATCATATGTTCAAAACGGCATGCTACCACACTACTCACACACTCCTGCAGTGTGCATACTACTGTATTATACTACTTTTATGCATATAGAGTCACATGGTATTTTTAAACGAGAATGCAGTATACAGTGTACACTGCTAAGTATGTAGTAAGCATCACTTAACTATTGACAAAGGACATTTTTTTCCGGCCGAAATTTCGCTAATGTGAACATGCCTTGAGAACAACAACACTGTGTACACTGTAGTAGTATCCAGTAAATTATTCACACTACTAATCAATTCTGAAATACAGCCTTATTACAGGATAAAGTCATGTGACTCGTCACCTACATGACGGTGTTGATCCCCGAGAGCTGCTGGAACATCTGTAGGCCACATCCCACGATGAGAGCTCGACGTGTCGGAGCGTACGTTAGGATTCGCCACAACACCGGACCACCTACATCATCAGTAACCAATCAGGACATCAGCCAATCACATTATAGCATCGTTCTATACAGACAGTTTGCTCAAATTGGATTGATTAGGTTTTTAAAAAAAGTCATTTTGATTCTCTAATGAGTTTTTCAGGCTAATGTGAACAGGATGAATCGGTTCACTGGATTCCTCATTTGCAAAAGTTTGGAATAATTAAGATTTATTCCTGTTTTGGTCTCTTCTGCTCACTAAGGCTGCATTTATTCCATCTAACATACAGTAGAAACCAAAACATTGTGAAATATTACACTTTTTTTCATTTGAATATATTTTAAAATGTAATTTATTCCTGTGATCAAAGCTGTATTTTCAGCATCATTACTCCAGTCTTCAGTGTCACATGATCGTTCAGAAGTCAATATAATATGATGATTTGTTGATCAAGATGCATTGTGGAACTGTAAAATAAGATTAAAAAACTAGATATTCAACATGGACACATTCAACTGATCAAAAGTGACAGTGAATACATTTATAATGTAATGTAACATGACATATCCATTTCAAATACAGGCTGTTCTTTGAACTTTCTATTCATGAAAAAATATATCAGTTTTCACAAGAATATTAAAAAGCAAAAACTTTGTTTTTTAACATTTATTTGATTATAATAACAACTCAGCAGAATATTATATTGATTTCTGAAGGATTATGTGACACTGAAGACTGGAGTAATATTGCTGAAAATACTGCTTAGATCACAGGAATAAATTACATTTTAAAATTTAGAAAACAGTTAGTTTAAATTAAAATGATAATTCACAATTTTTGATCAAACAAATGCAGCCTTGGAGACTTCTTTCAAATACATTAAAAATCTATTGACCTGTACTGTATAAGTGTGTATTAAAAAATAATATAAATGGTAAATTATACCCTCAAAATTCACTGCAAAAGAATGATTCACAGACAAATCTGCTATTACTATGGCTTGAAAAACACAATTTAATACAGTAATCAACATGAAGTTCATCAAAGCTGCCCTAAGACCAGAACGGGTTTGCTCCACTTCAGATGTTGACTACTGTATAAGCAGGCTTGGGAGGGTTACTTTAAAAATGTATCCCGATACAGTTACAAATTACTTTAAAAAAGTATTTAGTAACGTAATCCAAGTAACAGAATATGAAAGTAATGTAAATGATTGGATTACTTCAAGGACAGATTAAAAAAAATAAAATAAAAAAATTTTACTTATTAAGAATTTCACATCCCTGAAATATATTTATTTAAAGGGCCATAGAGACATCTAGTAGCTTCAGTGTGGTTTTACAGATTATTTTGAACTAACATGTAGGCTTCAACAAAATAATAAAAACACAACATTTAAAAATTCTACACAATCTACATGTTAGTTTATTTTAAAATAGGAAATAAACTGTTGACTAAAGCCGTGATCTTTCCTAATTTGCCTGACTGAACTTGGGCGATTGGCAGTAGGCGGTGAACATCTTCTTGAAAGGACATTTTAGGTACTAAAAAAGCTACCGGTACTAAAAACGAAATAGCAGTGGAATTTCGAAGAAATTAAAGCATTTTTATCCATGGGCAGCATCGTTTCTAGCAGCGGTGATTCAATCTGTGTCAGAGGAGATTGCTGTCGAGAGCTGTTATTTTACGCAGTCACCAGCAGGTGGCACACGTGACACGTGTCGCGAGTCATTAACCAAGCAACGCTAAAGGCCAATTTATACTTCTGGGTAGGGTGCAGGCAGTAGGTACGGCGTAGCATACGCACAGACGCGTCCCATACCGCGTATTCTTCGCCGTCGCCTGACGCGCACCTCCTCAAAAATGTAACTACACGTCGCGACGACGCGGACCGCAAGATCGGTGATTGGTCGGCTTGGTAGCATCGCATTTCCTCCTACGCATTTCCGCACGTACCATCTCCTCCGACGTCTTCTCTCATTTCTGCCTTTCAGTTTTAGTAATTTCACTAAAATTAACTGTTTTTTCCATCTCAATAAGCTCCAACTCCAACATGATCCGCTCTCTTTCAGTCGCCATTGCTTGAAGTAACCTAGCCGTGAGGAATCTAAACACAGTGGAACATTAAAACCCTCCGCCGCCAACTAGCGTTTCGGAGCAGTACTGCAGAGCAACCAAGACCTGAATGCAGAAATATAAATGCTCACGACGGCGTCGCCTACGTGCGTAGCCTACGCCGTACACTACGGCGTACCCTCGACGCAGAAGTATAAATTGGCCTTTACGGTGCGGATCCACTTGTCCGTGCGGCACTTCTGTCGCGCTGTGCTCCGCTTTATTCCTATGGGTGACATCACGCGACTTTAACGCGCACGCAAAGCATCCCGGGAAGGCGGCGCTTCATTTGGAAAAATGCTTTGCGTCAAAAAGCTGGCCGATGCCCATCTTTATGCAAATGAATTCCGTTGAACGCGCCGCGACTATCCAGTAGAAGTAGAGCATATGGAGACGGGGGGAAGTCTCTCGCTGGTCCTCTGTTCTAGACTGGCCGCTGGCTCAAAACCACGCTCATAGCCGTAAACTTGAGGAACGCCCATCAAAGTACAAATGTGGGGAGGCGTCGCGACAACACGTGACTGTCGTTTCGGACAAGTGGATCTCTACCGTTATGGTGCGGATCCACTTGTCCGTGCGAAACTTCAGTCGTGCTGCACTCCACTTTATTCCTATGGGTGACGTCACGTGACTTTAACGTGCCCGCAAAGCATCCCGGGAAGGCGGCGCTTCATTTGGAAAAATTTGGCGCGTCAAAAAGCTGGCCGATGCCCATCTTTATGCAAGTGAATCCGTCAAACACGACGCATCTATCCAATAGCAGTAGTCTCTCAAGGGGCCTTTGTTCTAGGCCCGCTGGGTCAATTCCACGCCCATAGCGGTAAACTTAAGGAACGCCCATCAACGTACAAATGTGGGGAGGCATCGTGACACCACGCGACTGTCGTTTCGGACAAGTCCCAGATAGCAAACTGACATTGAATCAACGTGGAAACATGACATCGAAACAACGTTGATCTGGCATTGTTTTGCTCATCGAATTAACGTTGAACCAACGTCAGACGCGTCAGTCTTGAAAACTAACGGAAAATCAACTTGAAATCAACGTTGTTTCAACGTTAGGAAAGCAAACCAATTGCAAACCAATTACCAATTTTCATTTAGCTTTGAAGAATGACGCGTCTGACGTTGGTTCAACGTTAATTCGATGAGCAAAACAATGCCAGATCAACGTTGTTTCGATGTCATGAGAGACGTCGTTTCCACGTTGATTTAATGTCAGTTTGCTATCTGGGGTGGATCTCTACCGTCAAGCTGCGTTCACACTACACGCGACCAAGCGACACAATACCATTTATTTTCAAAGGTAAGCGGGTGACTTTCGGCGACATGCTTGACGGCGACCGTTGCCGACTAGATGGGGCGTGTCTGACAACGTGACAAAGTTGAACATTTTTTAACTTTATGCAAATGAAGAGCAATTTTCGCGAGCGACAACCAATAGGAGTGAAGTCAGTGGAGGGCGTCACTCTTCAGTGCGGAGTCTGACCGAGGCAAGTTGAACGAGAAGCTCATTTTAGCTGTCCTATAATTTATGATATATCACCGTGTACATACAGTGCTGTTCATCGTACTGACTCGGTGACTGAATGGTTTTAGGAACCCAGATAGACCGATTCCATTTATATTTAGACTTTTCCTTCCAAAATATTTGTTTGTAGCGGTGTATTTGTTGTATTTGTATTTGATTTGTATTTCTATATCAAAATGTATTTGTTGTCTAACATAGAGTAACTTCCGTTAATGTCACTCACAAACATTACTAGGCAACCAGAAGTGGGAACGCCCTCCAGCGCAGCCACTGGCGACCTGCAGCGACAAAGTCGCGTGTAGTGTGAACGGGGCTTTAATAGTGTTATTGTGCCAAAATACAGATTTACTTAGTTTTAAATGAAACCATTGTAATCCTGAAAGTATCCCCCCCTTTTTAAAAAAGTAACTATAATCTAATTACTACTGTAATTGTAACAAATTACAGTAACTGGATTTTTGTATCCTGATTACATAACGCTGTTACAGGTATTCCGTTACTCCCCAACCCTGTGTATAAGACATTCTCCAGGTTTTCTGTGACGGTGGACGCACTGAATCCAGTGTTCTCACCAGAAGATTCACTCCTCTCCTCCTCAATGCTCCTCCGTATGCTCTCATACTCTTCCTCCACATTTGCTCCTCCGCGGATCCGCCCGAGCACCAGCCGAGCCTTCTGGGTCTCTCCGTTCTGCAGGAGCCAGCGAGGACTCTCGGGGAGGAAGAGGAATCCTGTGAACTGCAGGACGGCGGGAACAACAGACAAACCCAACATATATCTACACACAAACACAAAAAACATTCAAAAATGATTACAAAAAGAACTTTTGCACCTCATTTTAATTTGTAGCTCTACGGCACCTTTCCTAGAGAATGTCTGAAGCATCTTAAATGCAAATGAGCTGCTGCAGAGGGCGGGGTTTCAAGAGCTTGTGTGTGTTTTTCCTCACGCAGACACTAAAATGACAGAAACTGTTTTGCTTTTAAAGGAGTAGTTCACTTTTGAAAAAACTTTTGCTGATAATTTACTCACCCCCATGTCATCCAAGATGTCCATGTCTTTCTTTCCTCAGTCGAAAGAAAATTAAGTTTTGATGAAAACATTCCAGATTTTTCTCCATATAATGGACTTTCAAATGGGAACAGTTGGTCGAGGTCCAAACGACAGTTAATAACAGTTTACAGATGCAGCTTTCAAATGTCTTAAACGACCAGACGATGAAATAAGGGTCTTATCAATGCGAAACGATCGGTTATTTCAAAGCTTATTCCAAAAATCTAACTTTTCTAAGGACAAATGCTAGCATTGCAAGATTCTGTGAGGCGCATTTGCAACGTCACGTAATACATAATTACGTTTAAAAGGTCACGGGCGACGTAGCGGAAACGTACAGAATCAAAATCGTCCGACAATCGTTGTTTTACCTTTTAATTCCTTTTTGTAAACGCGTTTGAGTTAGTTTTCAACGTTCAACCTATGCGTTCAACTTTGTTAAACACTCTGACTCTGTACTTCCGGCTAATGTCGCCCGTGACCTTTTGACGTAATTATGTATTAAATGACGTTAAAACAGAGCCTTACAAAATAGATTAAAGGCTAGCATTTGAGCTCTTTTTAAAAAGTTAGATTTTTGGAGAATAATGCCTTTGAAAATAACCGTTGTTTCGCATGATAAAGACCTTATTCATGTTTGGTGTCCATTTTATAAAGCCATTTGAAGATGGCAAAATCTGTAAACTGTTATTAAGTGTGTTTGAAGTTTACCACCAAATATTTACCATTGAAAAGTCCATTTTATGAGGGTTTTCATCAAAAACCTTAATTTCTTTTCGCCTGAGGAAAATAGAAATGGACATGCTTGGTTGACATAGGGTGTGTCAATTATCAGCAAAAGTAATTCAAAAAGAAACTGTTCTGCTTTAAATGTTAAAACGGAGTCACTCAGAGATGGAGAGACTAAGAAGAAGAGACAACATGTAGATACAACAGGACGTTCTGAATTTAGTTTGAGTGAGTTAACTATCTTCAGTTTGCTTATTCTGTCAGGATAATCTATAAATCGCTTGTATAGGAACTGTTGTGAGATGCACACAGAGTGACTTTCTTTCTATTGCATGTAAAAAGATGGATGCTAAAGTTTGAGTTGACTCACAAATATACTCTTAAACAACTTTTTCTCTTCAACATGGACTGTGTGTTTCCAGGGGCGGGGTTTATGTAAATTTTATGGTTGGTGATGTCACTAACCCAGGAGGAAGCTCGTGTAGTCCCTAACAGCCGTTTGTTGTAGTCCTTTTAAAGTAAATATCTTCCTTTGCTTTGAACTTTAAGCATTGCAACTTTGATAATGTTGTTTATGTTCAAACAGCAACAATACACACTGACTAAAGTTAGACAAGTGAAATTATACTTTACCACCCCTTTAAGAGGTAAAGCTTCCATTTGAACCCACCTCCAGCCATCATGGGGCAGGTAGCTAAAGAGCCCGTCCACCACGCTGGCTACGAACTGCCCACCAGTGATAAACAGAGTATTAATGGTGACCAGCTGACCTCGGAGATGAGAAGGGGACACCTCAGCGATGTACACGGGCACAGTCATGGATGCAATTCCTAAAAACAACAGAAGACGTGAAAGAAGATAATGCAAACAGCTCTACATATACTGCGAGGCTACAGAATGGACTACCTATGCCAAGGCCAACCGTGAGCCTTCCACACAGAAGAACCTCTTTGCTGTGTGCGAGACTCAGGATGACGCCTCCAGCGGAGAAGATGAAGCTAGCGAGCAGAATGCAGATTCTCCGTCCGAAAAGCCCGTTGAGAAACCCTCCAGCCAGAGCGGAAACAGCGGCGGCGCCAACAGTGATGGAGACCAGAAGCTCCTGCCACAGAGAGCTCAGGTTCATCTCTCTCTTCAGCAGAAGCATGGCTCCAGACACCACTCCTGTGTCATAGCCAAACAGGAATCCACCCAGAGCCGAGAAGAAAGCCAGGGTGTACACGAAACATGGCGTCTGATCTGTGGGTATGGGCACGTCATTTTCTTGGTAGTTGGTTTGGACATTAGATGGTGTTTTTATCCAACTCCTTTCGTCCTCAACTCTCCTGTCTCCTATCAACTCCTCCATTCTCTAGAGTTTATGCACATTGTCTCCTGTGAAAAAGACAACACCTTGAAATCATCACATGATCAACAAAAGCCAGTACCTTGCCCAACCCGGAATGACCACGTTGACATTGCACACACCTCAAACCACAGTGGAACATTTGTAAACATTGTGGTTAGTCCTATGCAAAAGTTATTCCATTCCATAGCACTATTATGAAAGATTCCTTAACACATGACCTGTACAGCAAAATTAATCTGATGTTTTTCAACAATATACACTTAAACGGTGATTAAAGTGAACAAATTGTCATTTTGAATCGGTTCTATGTAATAATTCAGTCGAACCGACTCGTATTATCGTCGGCGAATGACTCGATATAGCAGGCTAGCATTTGGCACTTGAGTTGGCATAATATAAAATCTAGTGATGGACTACAGTGTTTGTTTCTTTTGCTACTTAAAAAAAAAACACGTATATGATGCACTAGCGCAGCGGACTACTAAATCAGACTCAAATGAATCATTTTAGGAATCGGTTAGCTATGGCGAACTCTTTGAACGAACCGATTCGCTAAAATGAATTGGACTGATACAAACTCTGATTATAATAGGAAGGAAACTCGAGTAGAAATCGCGATATGAAGTGTAAAGTGCATGTAAAAAGCGTTCACCGATTGTAAACCCGATCTTTAGCTATGTTAGGTACTACGTTACAAAAATGCATCGAAATTAAAGAGTCGCGAAATACATATTTACATATACGCGTGTTTTAGCATTCCTTTAAAGATTTTTAGTATCTTTATTTAGAATATTACAATATTGGTTCATAAAACATGTACGTACCACGTCCTATGCAATCGTACACATAGGCTAACTTTACTGTAGCAATAGCTAACGTGCTATAAATGAACAGTACACGTTGCATATGCATGTGAAATAACTAAAATCCGCATATTTGCCTTCTCCCCCTGTAACCTACCAGCAAGACGCTTTTCTGGGGGTCATTCGCTTTAATAAGAGACTCGGGTTTCTTGCTTTCACTTGAGCTGTCGAACAGGAAGTTTGTGAATTCTTGTAGTCATATGATTCATAACGCAGCGCGAGGACCGCAGCTGCTAACATGACCAGGATCTCTTCTTTACCAAGCCGAGAATGAAATCGGGAACTAAAGATTAGTCATATCAGTCTTTACAGTAGCATAACTCGTGTTGTGATTTGCATAAACATGTCAGAGGAGCGTGTGTGCTGTGAAACAGACGATAGTCTGCAGCAGCGATGTTGTGTCCACTTGGTCAGTGAGGGTCAGAAGGGGCTTTAAAGCTCAGTTTGATGTCAGATAGCAGAAGATCATGGCTGATAAAGAGGAGTTGGGGATCAGACTGAAGAAGCTGCTGGTGAGGCTGAATCTTCAAGAGGGGAAACAGTTGGGCACTATGGTCCAGATCATACAGGACCTGCTGTTCCTGTCCCACACAGATCACTGTGGTGAGTTCTGACCTCTCAAACTGATAATCTGTAGCCTGTGCTTTGTTAACATATCTGATGTTTTAAACTTGTCTTAATACATATTTATATAGACTGGGAGCAATGCAAACTTGACCCCCCTCTCTGTGCTTTTTCCAGTGGGACAGCTATTTTTAGAAACAGTGTGTTCTTCTTTTGTCCTGCAGTTGAGCTGTTTGCGGATCAAAACGTCCATGTGCCTCTGATGCTGGTCCTGTCAGCTCATCTCAACAGCAAAGTTCAGCAGGTAGTCGTCTTTTTTTTTTTTTTGGCCGCACAAATTTCCTGGCAAATGCTTTATAGTTCACCCAGTTGAAGTGGAATCTATCTAATGTCAAATAATTTAAAGTGACTCCAAAACCTCAAATCCTTATAGGAGTAGTTCACTTAAAAAAAAAAAAAAAACTTTTGCTGATAATTTACTCACCCCCATGCCATCGAAGATGTCCATGTCATTCTTTCTTCAGTTGAAAAGAAATTAAGGTTTTTGATGAAAACATTCCAGGATTTTCTCCATATAATGGACTTCAATGGGAACCAAACGGTTCAAGGTCCAAAAGACAGTTTCAATGCAAACTGCAAACTGTTCAAAGGGCTTTAAACGATTCCAGGCGATAAATAAGGGTCTTATAAAAGCGAAACGATCGCTCATTAAAAAAAAAACAACAACAAAGTTTAAGTTTTATAAGCTCAAATGCTCGCCTTGCTCTGTTCTGTGATGAGTGTTCGTGACTCTCCTGTTCAAACTCGTTCATCAAAATGAACGAATATTTTTTCGTGTCATTTGGTTCATTCAACGAACATGAGTTGACTCGGGAAAAGATTCGTTCATTTTGATGAACGAGTTCGAACAGGAGAGTCACGAACGCTCATCACAGAACAGAGCAAGGCGACCATTTGAGCTTATAAAACTTGGAAATGAGAAATGAGCGATCGTTGCTTGAAAAGCTGTTTTGGGACTAACCTAACGGGGGAAGTTCTACAATACTACAATGACCTCTCAAAGGCTATGTTCCCACTGTCAGTCCAAATCCAAATCATATCTCCCTTTTAAAATTTTTCTTGAAATCCGTTTTTAGTCCGATTGCTGTAATCATATTTTGTGTGTTTTATGTAACTTCCTCACACCATGTGAAATGTACATATCAGACGTTGTCATAAGAAACGTGCTGAAAGTCACATGTGATTTCAAACCACAAATGAATTGCAAGTGATGAAACTTTTTTTGCTAAATATACACAAAATTCAGATTTGGACTGACAGTCTGAATGAGGGCTTAGAAGGACATAGAGATTTTTACTGTTACTTCTAACCTATTTTATGGAGTAAATTTAATTTCAGCTTTATTGACTATAAGAAAAGTGATTACTGCTGATTTCCTGCTTTGATCACACTGCAGGTTGGCTGGTCTCTGTTGTGTCGTCTGATGGAGATCTGTCCAACCACTCTGGATAGTCTTACCAACCCAGTGGAGTTTATAGAGGTGCACAAGTAAGCCTGAGTTATTTCTATGAGCTTATATGGCCATACATTCCTGTTTACTATGTAATTGAAGCAACTTTCACTAGTTTAAACAGCATAATTATCACTGCCTTCCTTTAATAAGCCACTCTGTATTCTTCTATAAAACTAAAAGTACAAAAGTAAAAGAGAATTCCTTTGTTCTACTGGTTAACATTAAAAGTAATTCACTATTGCATATAAAATAATTGTGCATCATATTAGTTTATTTCTATAGTACTTTAGACAGTACATAATGTTCCAGAAGAGCTTTGCAAAGAAAGTGCCTTAAAGGAATACTCCAGTTTTTTTGGAAATAGGCTCATTTTACAACTCCCCCAGAGTTAAACAGTTGAGTTTTACCGTTTTCGAATCCATTCAGCCGATTTTCTGATATTCAGAAGAATATCAGTAACCAGACAGTTTCTGGTCTCATTGACTTCTATAGTAGGAAAAAAATATACTATGGAAGTCAATGAGACCAGAAACTGTCTGGTTACAGATATTCTTCTAAATATCAGAAAATCAGTTGAATGAATTTGAAAATGGTAAAACTCAACTGTTTAACTCTGGGGGAGTGGTAAAATGAGCCTATTTCCAAAAAAAGTGGAGGATCCCTTTAAGGGAAAGTTTACCCAAAAATTACAATTCTGTCATCATTTAATCACCCTCGGGTTGTTCCAAAGCTGTATAACTTTCTTTTTTCTGCTGAACACAAACGAAGATATTTCGAAGAATGTGGAAAACTGTACAGAGCATACTAGAAAAAAACAACAAAGGGCTCAAGACCGAGCCTTGTGGCATATCATATTATTATATGGTATTGCAAATTACCAGTTCTAATCGCACTGAGCTGATTATTTAACAAAAACCGAAAAAAGACTAATTTTAAAGGCACTTTAAAAAAGACAGGCAGGATCTATTCATCTGAACGTGATTGGCTGACACGTATAACTGCCAGTTTGAATGGAATCTGGAATATGTCCTTTAGAGATGTCTCAAACCGGTTTTTAATGAATTCATTGCTGCTATCCATGTTCATCTGTGTTTGCATGTTTGTTAACACATGGTTAACTAACTTTATTTTTCTATGTACATTTCTGAAATTCACTTTCTGTAAAGCTGCTTTGAAACAATATATATTGTGAAAAGCGCTATACAAATAGATTTGAATTGAATTGTTCATAGGCTGATCCTTAAGGTGCTCTCAGTGTATCATAATGAAGCCAAGATGATGATGGTGGGCCTGAGAGCTCTGGCTCTGCTACTTAAGTCAGGTAAGACATCGGGTTGCTTTTCCATGATGCTGTTTATTCAACCATTATAGAATATTGGTTCCTCGCATTTATTTCATCTCCATAAGGATTTCAAAATATTCTTTCAAAAATTTTAACCAAACCACCCAGCTCCCATATGAATCACAACATTACAACAAAGAAACAAGACTGCACTGTAAGGGTGCCCAAACCTGTTCCTGGACACCTACTCGCCTGCAAAGTTTATCTGTAACCCTGATAAAACACAACTGAACCAGCGAGTTAAGAAGCACTTGATGATCACAGTTCAAATCCATAAGATGCATAAGATTAGGGAAATATGTCCGTTGACGTACCTGAACCTCGCCATCAGTCATATTTTTTAAACTCCATTGTTGATTTGAATAGTAAAGAACTCTTACTACACGGATTGCAACAGACTTTTAAAAATGGTGACTTGAACTCCAATCAGCATGTTCGGCGCCCAAGTCCCATCCCCGAATGTCCCTGAACTTTTATAAAGGACTCTGAGCTGGGGATTTTTTCCCCTCATTAACGTTGCCTACATAATAATACTTTTCACTTGAAGGAGTGAATTAAAACGAGTGAGTGAAATCGGACAGCCTTTGAGCGTATGTCGGCTGAGTATTGAATAAGTGCCCTCAATAATGACCAATATAGTGTCGGACACCACCACAAATGGCTGTCCCCTCAAATAATGCACTATTTGAGGGTATAAAGGCCAAAAGGGGCGATTGCGGATTCAGCAATGTCCCAAAGTCCCTAGTTTCTGGGTAAAGTTTGTGTGGTGGAAACACGGCTCATATAGGCAGATTTCCAGGAACAGTATTGGGCACTATTAACGCATTTCATGAAGCAATCTCATCCTGAGTGACATAATTAAATCTGCAATGACAATGCATTATAAATATGGATATCAGGAAAATACACTCACCTAAAGGATTATTAGGAGCACCATACTAATACTGTGTTTGACCCCCTTTCGCCTTCAGAACTGCCTTAATTCTATGTGGCGTTGATTCAACAAGGTGCTGAAAGCATTCTTTAGAAATGTTGGCCCATATTGATAGGATAGCATCTTGCAGTTGATGGAGATTTGTGGGATGCACATCCAGGGCACGAAGCTCCCGTTCCCCCACATCCCAAAGATGCTCTATTGGGTTGAGATCTGGTGACTGTGGCGGCCATTTTAGTACAGTCAACTCACTGACATGTTCAAGAAACCAATTTGAAATGATTCAAGCTTTGTGACATGGTGCATTATCCTGCTGGAAGTAGCCATCAGAGGATGGGGACATGGTGGCCATAAAGGGATGGACATGGTCAGAAACAATGCTCAGGTAGGCCGTGGCATTTAAACGATGCCCAATTGGCACTAAGGGGCCTAAAGTGTGCCAAGAAAACATCTCCCACACCATTACACCACCACCACCAGCCTGCACAGTGGTAACAAGGCATGATGGATCCATGTTCTCATTCTGTTTACGCCAAATTCTGACTCTACCATCTGAATGTATCAACAGAAATCGAGACTCATCAGACCAGGCAACATTTTTCCTGTCTTCAACTGTCCAATTTTGGTGAGCTCTTGCAAATGGTCGCCTCTTTTTCCTATTTGTAGTGGAGATGAGTGGTACCCGGTGGGGTCTTCTGCTGTTGTAGCCCATCCGCCTCAAGGTTGTGCGTGTTGTGGCTTCACAAATGCTTTGCTGCATACCTCGGTTGTAACGAGTGGTTATTTCAGTCAAAGTTGCTCTTCTATCAGCTTGAATCAGTCGGCCCATTCTCCTCTGACCTCTAGCATCAACAAGGCATTTTCGCCCACAGGACTGCTGCATACTGGATGTTTTTCCCTTTTTACACCATTCTTTGTAAACCCTAGAAATGGTTGTGTGTGAAAATCCCAGTAACTGAGCAGATTGTGCAGACGTCTGGCACCAACAGCCATGCCACGCTCAAAATTGCTTAAATCACCTTTCTTTCCCATTCTGACATTCAGTTTGGAGTTCAGGAGATTGTCTTGAGCAGGACCACACCCCTAAATGCATTGAAGCAACTGCCATGTGATTGGTTGATTAGATAATTGCATTAATGAGAAATTGAACAGGTGTTCCTTATAATCCTTTAGGTGAGTGTATATCATAAATGGAGTTCTTCTTGTTTGTTGTTATGAAATAGCCACATTCCACTTACACAAATGTATTTATGATGATGGTTAGATTAGCATGTTTCATTTCACTTGAGGTACACCACCATATTGCTGCATTTCCGCACTCCTCTCCAGAAATCAAAGCAATATTTGGTGTTTGTGGGTCAAATGTGGTTCTGATGGAGGTGTTGCTTGTGTGCTGGTCAGGTGAGATTGTGATGCAGGTTCTGGATGTGGAGGAAGTGGATGTGTTTTTCCTGGTCCTGGAGGCCATGAGGTCTTTCAGTGACAGAGAAGAGGTTCAGCTTCAGGGATGTGCTGCTTTACAACCACTGCTGCAGACAGGTAACTGTGATCTGTTACAATGTGTATGAGCAATAGTTATATAAGACACTATGATTTCCCCATCCGCAAAGAGTCCAGTCATAAATGGAATTTAATGTATAATGCGGAATGTCACGTAATTTTGCAAAATTGAACAAACTTAATTAAATTGAATAAATCAAAAGTAGGGCTGTACACTTAAATACAATTGTGAGTGTCTTACTGTATCTTACTGTAATCTCAAAAACAATCTCTGTTACTGTAATCTCAAAAACAATCTTACTGTAATCTCTGTTACTGTAATCTCAAAAACAACCTCTGTTACTGTAATCTAAAAACAATCTCTGTTACTGTAATCTCAAAAACAATCTCTGTTACTGTAATCTCAAACAATCTTACTGTAATCTCAAAAACAATCTCTGTTACTGTAATCTCAAAAGCAATCTCTGTTACTGTAATTTCAAAAGCAATCTCTGTTACTGTAATCTAAAAACAATCTCTGTTACTGTAATCTCAAAACAATCTATGTTAATGTAATCTCAAACAATCTCTGTTACTGTAATTTTAAAAACAATCTCTGTTACTGTAATCTCAAAAACAATCTATGTTACTGTAATCTCAAACAATCTCTGTTACTGTAATCTCAAAAACAATCTCTGTTACTACTGTAATCTCAAAAACAATCTCTGTTACTGTAATCTCTAACAATCTCTGTTACTGTAATCTCAAAACAATCTCTGTTACTGTAATCTCAAAAGCAATCTTTGTTACTGTAATCTCTAACAATCTCTGTTACTGTAATCTCAAAAGCAATCTCTGTTACTGTAATCTAAAAACAATCTCTGTTACTGTAATCTCAAAGCAATCTCTGTTACTGTAATCTAAAAACAATCTCTGTTACTGTAATCTCAAAACAATCTATGTTAATGTAATCTCAAACAATCTCTGTTACTGTAATTTTAAAAACAATCTCTGTTACTGTAATCTCAAAAACAATCTATGTTACTGTAATCTCAAACAATCTCTGTTACTGTAATCTCAAAAACAATCTCTGTTACTGTAATCTCAAAACAATCTCTGTTACTGTAATCTCAAAAGCAATCTTTGTTACTGTAATCTCTAACAATCTCTGTTACTGTAATCTCAAAAGCAATCTCTGTTACTGTAATCTAAAAACAATCTCTGTTACTGTAATCTCAAAAGCAATCTCTGTTACTGTATTTTCCTGTTTTCAATGTAAAGCTGCTTTGAAACGGTCCATATTGTTAAAAGCCACTATAATAAACTTGACTTGGCTATACATCTGAATAACTGTTGTTAAAGTGTTCTGCTTGGTTGTCAGTGTCTGAGGATCATCTGGTGGAGTTTGTTGAGAAGAAGGACCATGAGGTGGTTTTGAATGCGCTGAGCCGGTTCATGGACAGTGAGAATGTGGTTCTGCGAGTGCTGAGGGTCCTCGTACCGCTGGCTGCTCCGGGTAAAACACACTGCTCACTCCATGCTTTACGATCAGAGACTGGGATTATCATTATTAACAATACTAAATAAGCCTCTCTTTCTTGGATCTAGCCAGCAATGTTGAGATTCTGATGTCCAAAAGCGTTAAATGCTACAGCCTAGCGTGTCAGGCTATGGAGATGTGGCTCAACTCTGAGGCGATACAGGAGGCCGGTTGCTGTTTGTTAAGGAAATTGACATCAGGTGAGTCCAGGTCATAGGTCAAGTTGAAACAAGGCCGTTCTTACAATATATGATTTAGTTTTGCTACCATTTTTGAGTTGTGTTGCCTTGTTTTTGACTTTTACCAGAGAGTTACTACAATATATTGGTGCTGAATGGTGTCCATAAAGTAGCAATGAAAGCATGCGTCTCGTATCCTGAGAACGCCACAGTGCAGATCCAAGCCCTTTCCTGTCTGAGCGCGCTCGGTGAGTACATATGACTCATATGAACATGATAGTACAGTATAAACAGAGAACCCGGCCCACCACTGGATCCCGTAGAGCCCACGCTTGACATATATGCTGCTTTTTATGATTTTTGTACATAGATTTGGGGACATTTTCAGTGACCAGTCCTAATTTACATGTGAAATTCAAATACATAGCTAGGATAGAGTGCTTTAGAAAACATTAAATGCAGCACTTTTATGGGTTGCAATAATTGGTCTAAAAACAGATACGATATACATTACTTTGGAATAATTAAAATGTTTTTGAAAGAAGTCTCACCAAGGCTGCATTTATTTGATCAAACAGTTCTTTTAAAATGTAATAATATATATATATATATATATATATTGTGACCACATTGAACTAATTCATTCCCTTATTTTAATTTAGTTTTTAGTCACAATTTTAAGGTTATTCACGATTCAAGGCGACTATATCTTGTTTGTTCCCCTCAGTGGAGTGTGTTGTACAGAATGAAGGGTTGGAGAGAGAGAGAGAGGAGGACGAGGCGGAACAGGAAGTTGTGTCCACTGAAGCGGAGGAGATGCTCGTGTGGAGAGAGGCCTGTTATACGGCTTTACAGAGACATGCTGAAGACGCCACAGTACAGGTGACCTGTTTTACCCTACAGTGCAGAAACATCTTATCTCAATAGATTGCTTTGACTAATGTGGATATGTAACTTTCTATCTCGTTGCCCGATCAGGAAGTGGCGTGTTGGGCCTTGAACAGCTTGCTGCTCCACTGCAACACGTCCGGCCCCGTGGAACTGGAAGGAAGGTGCGCATTCCTTCATATTCTCTGCTACGAAACTCTTTCTCATGGAATCCCTTTTAAAGTTAAAGGTTGAGACCATTATAATTGTTTTACTAACAATATGATTATTATACAGATCATTTTTTGCTCAAGGGAATAGGAGTTTAACGATACCCTCATGTCACGATACGATTCTCCAAGACATATGATAAAAGGTTAAAACATTTTTTACTGTTGATTAAAATGCTGCATTTGGTGTAACATTGTGTGTGTAAATCAAGCGTGCCGCACAAGCCCTGAAAAGGGAAGCCAAACGTCTTGATCTCCCCCCGGTGGCCGGTCCTAGTATAGGTCATAAACCCCGCCTCCCCATGTTATTCAACGGCACGTGAGACCAACTAAACAATTAAATTACACTTCAAATATCGTTTTTCCAAAGATGGTTTCTGTCGTTTACTGTAGCTTTTATCACGCTGAAGTAGTTTAAAGTGTTTGACGTCATGATTGACAGCTGTGATTGACAGGTTCTCTGAGCGAAGTAGTCACTGAAGCACCAACAGACTTTTTTTCCGGGATCTTCGGTGGACGGAGGAGATTGGAGCTTTAAATTTAATACCTAAACTTCTATAATTAATTCTAAAAAAGTGTGCTTGCGATTGATTCTGCGCGAGTGAGGGCGGGACTCTGATTTCGCGGCTTTACTTCCTGCTCACGACTGCGCATGTCTGGTCCTGAAATCGCTTCTGCGCAGACTTAAGTTGACAATGTCGGCGCCATATCGGGATACTGATGACTTCACTTCTGACCAATTGAAGAAAGCGAAGGGGCGTCGTCCATCTTTTTTTTTACAGTTTATCGTGTAAATGAATAGGCTTGAACTTGTTGTTGGAATCCCAATGAACACCAGAATAAACATATTCATGATTCTGAAGCTGAAAATACAAGACAAATATTTCTGGCACTCTTCCACTGACTAGATATATTTAAAATAAAGTTTAGGCCACTTTTTACTGGTAACATAAGACATTTGACATTGTCAGGACCCACACAAATTCCTCTATATCATTATTATACATTAAATACAACATTATATGGTAGTTTAATGTAGTACTGACACTAAAACTTAAATATTTTCTCCCACAGTAATTTTTATTTTGGGTGAACTATACACAGTACATATTGTACTATCCACGATCAGTGGTGGAGGAAGTACTGAATCTCAGTACTTAAGTAAAAGTACAAATAAACAGATGAATATTTACTTTAGTAAAAGTAGAAGTAACACAATGACAACCATACTTAAGTAAAAAGTAAAAAGTACCTGATTTTAAATGTACTTTAAGTATTAAAAGTAAAAGTAGCTACTTGAATAACAATTGATTCTCTTAATGACTATTTTCTAATGATTAATAAAACATTTATTCTAACTCGTTCCACCTAATAGCCTACTCCATAATGATGCTCATTAATTATGGAAAAAAAAAATTGTTGTCACCATTTCTGAAACAAGCTTGCAATTAGGCAATACACATCATGCTTATCCTTACTATATGTTAATAACTATGTTTGGCAGTAAACGTGATTAATTTATGGTGTAATTCTGAACCTCTTGGCTTGCCATAATCCTAACCAAACGTACTGTATATAACACACGGTGCGTGCGTTTGCTATGCACATAAAAACAAATTTTCACGAATATATGGCACGATAAAAACACTGCGTGCGAGACGCATTTAGTGTGACGGGTTGAAATATTTATGGCAACCAAACGTCACTGGTGAGACAAGCGTGCAACGAACGGATGGTCAGATTACGTTTTAGCAAAAACTGATCAGAAAATGTAATGAAAAAGTAACAGAAGTTGTAGAAATTAAATGTAGTGGAGTAGAAAGTATAATAATTGCTGCAAACTGTAGCGAAGTAAAAGTAAAAAGTAGGCTCTATTTATTCTACTTTAGTAAAGTAAAGATACATGAAAAATGTACTTAAGTAAAGTAACGAAGTATTTGTACTTCGTTACATTCCACCACTGGCAACGATACACATTGTTGCATTTTTGTATTGTGATATATTGTGGCACGATATGTTGTTACACCACTATAAGGGAATGATTTTTAATAGTTTTGAACCTTCATTTTGACACAATAATAAAAGAATCAAAAGAAACATGTGTTATTATTATATTTCTAGATTATGTTATGTAGGTTATGACCCTCTGCATACTTGTGTAGTTAATACTGTCATCATCAAGTTGCTGAATACTGAAGAGGTAATGAAATTTAAAGGGATACTCCACTTTTTTTGGAAATAGGCTCATTTTAACACTCCCCCAGAGTTAAACAGTTGAGTTTTACCGTTTTCAAAATCCATTCAGCCGATTTTTTGATATTTAGAAGAATATCAGTAACCAGACAGTTTCTGGTCTCATTGACTACCATAGTATATTTTCCTACTATGGTAGTCAATGGGACCAGAAACTGTCTGGTTACTGATATTCTTCTAAATATCAGAAAATCGGCTGAATGGATTTTGAAAACGGTAAAACTCAACTGTTTAACTCTGGGGGAGTTGTAAAATGAGCCTATTTCCAAAAAAAGTGGAGTATCCCTTTAAATGTAGGTGGTCAAATGTTAATGAGCTCGGGGTGTGATGTCGTAATGATGAATCTCTTATCACACAGGCCTCCTCTTCACACACTCATCATGGCTGCGATGCTTCTGCACTCCTCCTGTGTGGGAGTGTTTCAGGCTGCTACCTGTACATTACACACACTAATACAGCACAACAGTGAGTATGCAGTGATTGTTATTACAGAACCTTATTATATGGCATGTACACTCACCTAAAGGATTATTAGGAACACCTGTTCAATTTCTCATTAATGCAATTATCTAATCAACCAATCACATGGCAGTTGCTTCAATGCATTTAGGGGTGTGGTCCTGGCCAAGACAATCTCCTGAACACCAAACTGAATGTCAGAATGGGAAAGAAAGGTGATTTAAGCAATTTTGAGCGTGGCATGGTTGTTGGTGCCAGACGTCTGCACAATCTGCTCAGTTACTGGGATTTTCACGCACAACCATTTCTAGGGTTTACAAAGAATGGTGTGAAAAGGGAAAAACATCCAGTATGCGTCAGTCCTGTGGGCGAAAATGCCTTGTTGATGCGAGAGGTCAGAGGAGAATGGGCCGACTGATTCAAGCTGATAGAAGAGCGACTTTGACTGAAATAACCACTCGTTACAACCGAGGTATGCAGCAAAGCATTTGTGAAGCCACAACACACACAACCTTGAGGCGGATGGGCTAGAATTAAGGCAGTTCTGAAGGCGAAAGGTGGTCAAACACAGTATTAGTATGGTGTTCCTAATAATCCTTTAGGTGAGTGTATAATCCACTGAATGGATTAACTGGATTATTTTGCATTTCACATGCCATCTATCCTTTATAATATGTATGATTAGAATCAGTGGATACTAAATTATTATACAATAGTCTTTCAAAAATTAGAATTTAGACTCGTGTCATTTACTGATTATACTCCCCTGCTTGTCTGTATCATGTTTTTTATGTACATTTGTTTCATACATATACTAGTTCTTTGAATAAGTATTTGGCCAATGTTACACAAAAACAATAAAAAAAAATGACAATTTTACAGAGATGTATGATCTCTTGTGTAAATTGTATTTATGCGTACTTATAGTGTACTTAAAAGTATATTTTTTGTACTTGCAGATGCTTGTTTTTTAACCCTTGTGCATCCTTATGGACATTTTTGTCCTTTTCAGTTTTGTTTTTTTGATCACTTTGCCTGTGTTAAAGCTAACTGCAAAAAACTTGGCACAGGTGTGTATTTTTATTGGAATTTGACTATTTCACTGTCATTTTCTTAAAAAAAATATTTTTTGCATTAGGTACAAAAAATACTCCCTCTCAGCACCTTTTGGACAAAAATGTCCCCATTGAAACCCATTAAAACTGCCATTATCAATCCCTGGTTCAGTTAACTATAAAATTATGCAATCTTTGTTAAGAGGCTTTCATTCTGATGGCAAGGCTTCAAAATTTTATTTTTTACTATTTTTTATCAGATGGTGCCATTTTTTTTAAGTTTGGCCTATAAAACAAATGTCGCTTTATTCCTGTTTTCTGGTTCGGCATATTATAGAGCCAACGGGATAAATTATGCAACAATATTTGTGTGGGTGTGTTGGTATGGATGTCAGAGTGTGGTTAGTATGTGTGTTATAAAAAAATATGTGTGTGTGTGTGCGCATGTGTGTGTTTGTAATACTGAGAGAGAAAAACTGCAAATTCAAATCCAATCACTGTGAGCTCCAGTGGGGTTTTACTGGGACCCAATGGGGAAAATATGTTACTACGCCCAAACAAAGTGTTACCGAAAGCTCATTTTTTGAGATATCATCCTCAAATTTGGAACACAACCTATTTAGATTTATGGCTTTGATTTTATTGCAGTTTTGAGTTCAACCTGATTTATAAAATATATATTTTATATAAAATATTTTTTATAAATAATTTGCATAAACTTATACCTATATAACTTTTTTTTGGATTCACTTATTATTATTTACTTCAGCAATAATCGGCAAAGGGTCTTCTTTAAAATGATACCAAACTTAAGTCTGTGCTCCAAAGCGTCACATTTTTATGACACTTTTTTGACATGGACATTTTTGTCCTCTTTTTACCTATGTGTAACTTTTTTTAATTGATGCACAAGGGTTAACACACTTATTGTTAGTTCAATTTGTTATGAAATTACGGAGCCCCCCTAGTCCCACTTTGTCAAAAAAAATCAATTATAACTATCTCGTGGCCTCAAGATAGTATAGGAGTTACCATTTCAAAGACAATAGTTACCTTTAACCGCATTTTAAAGACAATAGAAGTTATTATAAAATTACATTTGAAGATGTACTTAGGTGTGTCAAAAGAAATTTAAATCATAGTACTTTTTACATTCAATTAAGTGTCCAAAAAAATCAGTTTCCACTTACGTATATTTTCTCCATTATAAACACTCTTTTTAAAACTCTTCCTCTTCTTCACGAGGGACGTTCACGAGCCGAACTCGCTTAGCTTGTGTTTGTGTGACTTCAGGAAGGATGAGAGATCTGCTGCTATCCCTTGGCATCCATTTCAACATTGTGGATCTGATGCGGAAACACGCCAGCTCCAGTGTCGTGTGTGAAAGTGCCTGCAAACTGCTTCACACACTCTTTCAGGGAGCGTAAGCACACACACTTCCCACCTCTGATCAAGGACAGTTTATTATGACGTATGACTGGCGGAAACATGAACTCATAGTTTTGTGTTTCTCCAGGAGGGCCAGTCTTGATGAAGGGGCCCTGGTTCTCGGACAGATCCTGAGTGCTCTGAGGACACACAACTTCGTTCCTGAGGTTCAGCTGGATGGACTCAGAGCCAGTTTAGTTCTTCTCAACCCAGGTAGAATGTCGGTCTACTTACTGTAATGAAATATGCCTGCGTGATTTCTGACGGTCTTATTGTGAACACAGACAGGAGTTTAAGAGAACATGGCCACTCTGTAGCGGATCCTGACACGGTGGGTGTGTCGCTGCGGGTCCTGAAGAACCAGTGTGTGCTGGAGGGAGCGCACACGGTCTATCTAGAAGCACTTAATAGGGTAAATACTTTGTTTCTTACAAGCTAAAATAGTTCAATAATTCAACATGGACCATAATGCTAAATATTTTGCTTATGAGAACTTAACAGGATGTTCCTGGTTCAATGCGGTGTACAATGTTAAAATATTTTCTCCTATCGCTGATTAATATGAAAAGACAACTAGAGTATTTTCACTAAATTATGATTTAACCCTCTGGGGACTAAGCCCTTTTTGGTCCGTTTTCTCTATTTTTACATTTGGGCTTATAAACCATACAGTATGTAATGTAGATGGAACACTATGTGTTTGGTGTCTATGGATTCAGAAGACTCTAAGCTAACAGAAGCATGCATGTAATGTGTTTATAAAGGAAGTATGAGTGAAAAATGTACAATATACTAGAGAATTTCAAAAACGGAAATTCGATTTTTGTCATTTATTTCTGAAAATCACACAACAATAGTGAACAGTTTTTGAACAAAAAATATATTTGATAAAGCCTTTGCTTGACAGACATGTGTAATTGTTAAATAAATTGTGTAAAGAACAATGCAAATCTAACTTTATTTACAAATAGTCCCAGGCGTTTTTCTTAGAAATGCTTAGAATTTTCTAAGCAATGCTTTCTCCTCGTCTCTCTCCAGTAATTGAGCCTGTTCCATCGTATATCGTAAATCGCTTGCCATCCTAAAAGTGCTAAAATAATAAATAATGTTGTAATTGTATGTATATTTATATATTATAATTCTTCTGTCTCTCTTTTATTTAAATCTCAGCGCACTCTCGCTCCGTAAAGCCTTGTTTATACTCGACTTCGCTTTCTGTCGTCTCCTCCACTTGACTCTGTTGTCATATCCCTTACTATATAGTACCACCCCTTGCAAGGCTACAGAGTCCTCCGATTTGCTAGAATACGTCATGTTAACCTTCCCCTGATTGGGAAAGACAATAGTTTTAGGAAATAGTGGCCCACAACTGATCAGCAGAAGTACTTCAGTAAGACAGTAATAATGTGAGTTAGTCGGTTAGATGAAGACATAAACAATATAAAACTCAAATCTATGTATTTTGAACACCCGGTAGAAAATATATACATCTGTAATTAATAATACTTACAGGCTGTGATTCTGAGGAGCTAGCAGGTCCATGTATCGGCACTGTCCCGTCTTTCAAGAGCAAGAGTTTTAGGAATCTCACGTTGAAGGGCGGGTCAAGCGGACAATGTATAACATAGGCGGGCATTGTGCAAATGTGTTACCCAGTGACGTGTAGCCGTAACGGATTGGGATTCGAATTCCTGACGATTCGTTTAGGCGGTTCAGAGTCGATTCTTTCTTTAGAGAGACAATAACTTTATTTAGCGTAATATAATTTTTATCTACATTAGACATTACATTACACACGAAAGGGAATATCGGAAAAACATAATAGGGGCACTTTAAATATAATTGTATTTATATTATGAAGGATTTAGTACATTTAAAGGTAGGGTAGGCAATTGGTTTTATAAACACTTTTTGTTTACTGGTTGAATCTCTTCACATCTTGATAGCAGTCAATAGTAGAAATGGTCTAAATATTAAAACATCTACATATATCTTCCATGGAAGTGTCAGGATCAAAGCATTTTTGTCCGATCATTGCGAGCTGTTTGGGTTTTTTGCATTTCTATATCAGCACTTCATGCTGAAATGGATCTGCAGCAGTCCGGTGGTACAAATAAGAGTCCTTTAAGTTGTTTACGTACATTATTATTGTAATGTTATGTGCTTTGAGAGATGAGGTAATTTAACGCCGTCTCTCTGCTGTGTGTGTTCTTGTGTTTTGAAGGAGGCGTAGCTTTAGAGACTCTCTGTAGGGAGGGTGAGATCTCATGCTTTCAAAGCTAGCTTGCTATTGCTAGCCTCTCTGATAATGACCTACCCTACCTTTAAAATCGTCATGACATGAGAAATCAAATTTGACAAATAAGAGCTTTTTGTACCATTAAAACATCCTGCAAGTTTCAAAGCTGAAAACGTCCTCATTATAAACGAAGCATTTATTTAAACAAGCTTCAAAAACGTTTTGTTTTGATATCGCAATATCTGTGACGACACACGGGCAAATGCATTTGCATATGATATGCCTGCCTCCAGACCAAGACATATAGTTACACATCATCGCACCATAGGCTCCACCCACTGGCATTTACACTTTCAAAGGCTCTTGTGCATCTTTAAAACACAAATTAATAAATATTAATGAAACCTGACCATTTTTTTATTCTATATCATATATGTAAATATGTTTTGAAGATGAACGCAAGTCTTATGCTACGTTCACACCAGACGCAAATAGCGCGTCAAATTCGCGTCTACCGCTAAAAAGACGCTAAAAAGCGTCTATGTTTGACGCTTGGCCACTTTGTGTTAATTCGCGCGTCAAGAGCAAAACTGACCCCAGATAGCAAACTGACATTGAATCAACGTGGAAATATGACATCGAAACAGCGTTGATCTGACATTGTTTTGCTCATCGAATTAACGTTGAACCAACCTCAGACGCGTCATTCTTTCAAAACTAACGGAAAATCAACTTGAAATCAACGCGTTGTTTCAACGTTATGAAAGCAAACCAATTTTCGATTTTCATTTAGCTTTGAAGAATGCCGCGTCTGACGTTGGTTCAACGTTAATTCGATGAGCAAAATCAACGTTGTTTCAATGTCATGAGAGACGTCGTTTCCACGTTGATTCAATGTCAGTTTGCTGTCTGGGACTCGAGTAAAATCAAAAGTTTGAAGCAAAATTTACGCGCATCTCGCGCGTCAAAATCGAAACCCGTTGACGGCCATCTTTGTTTATGTTGATCGAGCATTCATCGAGAGATTCACCGCACTGTATTTGCTCTGGAGAGCTAGACCAGCGGCGTGGGGATCATCGTCACCGTATTTGTGTCTACCGGACCCTTCGGAGGCGAACCGTTTGGCGAGTTTCACCATTTGCTCGCTCCAGGAGCTGCGCTGGATGACGGCCGCTGTTAGCGTACTTCCGCCCGTCCCGCGGCCAGTTTGATGACCTGTTGTCCCGCATCGGAGCGAGGATCACCCTCGCCCTCATCCACCTAATCTGTCATTTATTTTTGTTTTGATGATAAATCGAGCCAGCTTCCAAAAGTTATTAACCTGTGCTGTGATTTTTTTTCTCTCTCACGTCCAGACACGAACTTGTGCACATGTATGTTGTCTTTACATAATACTATTTCATATAATCTAGATATGGAATGAATAACATTAAATACAAAATGAACATGTCTCGTATATAGAAATAATGTTTTATGTGATAAAAAATATTTGCTTTGTTGTGCATAATCCCACCATGCATTTAGTCATATTACAAAATAATTTCACGTGAGCAAGCAGCGAGCAGGCGCGAATTCACGCCAAAGTTCAGATTTTTCAACTCGGGCGGCAGACGCGAATTTGTGTCAAACGCGTGAATGCACAAATGGCACTAACTAAATAATTTGCGCGTAACGCGCTTAACGCACTAGACGCTCAATTCGCGCGAACGAGGTGTATTTGTGTCTTCCGCGCCACGCTCCACACCTCATTCGTGACGCAGGAATTTTTCACACGCGTAACGCGTCTTTGCATTGACTTAAAATTTAAATCATTCGCGCCTGACGCGCTATTCGCGTCCGGTGTGAACGTACCATTATAGGTTTGGAAAACGTGTCAGTGAGCGAGTACAGTAACTGCATGACAAGATTAGCATTTTCGAATGAACTGTCCCTTTAATATATGCTCTTAGACAAAAATATGAACTTTACATTTCTGTTTTTAAACCATCTTGATATATATATATATATAAACCTACTTCTGCCAGAAATGCTGTCAGACTTTAACTTGTATTGCACCTGTAAAATTCCTTTTGTAACATTGGACTTTTATTTAAGTTTTAAGTAAATGTGTGGAGTGTTGTACATGTGTCATTTGTGTGTTTAGTTTATCAGTAGTAAGGAGATTCAAGAGTGTGGACTTGGCGTCCTCTCAGCGCTAGCCGACTGTTCTGGAGCTGTGGACCTCATGTGCCAGCAGGGGGCGATCGACACGGTTCTTCATACGCTGCAGATGTTTCCACAGGAGCGCGGTGAGTCTAAACACTTCTCCATGCCAGGAGATCACCAGCCTCTACTTCCAATCCCAGCCAGACTTCATTGCTGTTTATGTTCCACATTGCTGCTTATTCTGGCGAAAAACCGTCTACTTAAGACCGATCACAGAATGGGTTTTTGAGTTCCACTGTACCAACTTTCCATTGTCCTATGAAAATATGCTAGAGGGATGTGTTTAAACATTGTGCTTATGTCTCTTGAAGAATCTCTCGCATGACATATTATTCTAAAAATGTGGTGCTCAATTTAAAAGAAATTAAACTTTTTTTTAAAATGTGTCTGTAGACCTGAATTGGTCAGTTCACCCAAAACTGAAAATTTTGTCATCATTTACTCACCCTCATCTCATTCCAAACCCATAAGACTTTCGTTCATCTCTGGAACACAATTTTGTGATTTCTGTCCATCCATTGAATAAAAGCAGAAATTTAATCTGTTCATCATGAGTTTGAGTCACTTCAGAATTTTTGGACTAAACCACTCAATTCATATGAACTTCAAGTGAAGTGTCAAAGTGGTAGTTGCGTAGCTGTCAATGAAGGGACAGAAATCCCTCAGATTTCATCAAAAAGATCTTCATTTGTGTTCCGAAGATGAGCAAAAGTCTCACAAGGATAATAGAGTTTTAATTTTTTGGGTGAAGTATCACTTTAAGTTTTCCTTCAACTTTCTTGTGTCTCACGTTTTTAAACACGAAAACACATTCTGTGTGTATGGCCCCTAAGACAGGAAGAGACCATCTGACTGACATAAAGGTGTAAAAAAGCTATTTAAATAATGCTAAACATAAACATAAGCACAACTGTATAATAATCCAAACTCATGACCATATTGTAGACATTCACTACTGGGCCCTCAGTCTCCTGTTTCACCTCATCTCTAAGAAGAAGCTGTCCCGTACGATGGTGCCTGTCCTGGCCTTTGTTTTGGTCAGTTCTGTACGGCAACACAAAGAGGACACAGTCATGCTTCTAAAGGTAGCTCACTACAGTTCAAAATCAGCAGGGTTGTTGCTGTTCCTAACAGTGTGCGATTGTCCTTTAGGGATTTCAGGCGGTGTGGAAGTTGTTGGACACCTGCTCGAGTGCCGCAGCATGGCTGCAGAAAGAGGCTTTCGAGAAAGAGATCTTTCAGGTCCTGCGGGAGAAGACGGGAGACCAGCGTCGAGATCCAGTGAGAAAATTGAACTGAAAGGTTTTAGACTTAAACAAGTCAAATAAAAGCAAGATCTCCGGAAAAATCCCAGTTTTGTTGGGCTTCAGTTGCAGGGAATGAGTTGCCTGTGCCTGTGTAAGATGGTGGCGGACCCTGAGATCATGTACCTGCTGCTGGAGCGAGCGTGCGAGGACGGAGATGTGGACATGGCAGAATGTCTCATTAAGCTGGGCGCTGATGTCAACAAGAAAACAAAGAGCGATTCGCTCATTTATCAGGTCTGATTTATGAATCTTAAAGGAATATTTACAACAATAAAAAATCATAGTTTACTCATTCTGTGGTTTTAAAGGGGGTGTTTTTATGTTTTTACTCTTTTCGCATTTGCCAATCATAAAAGTGTTTATTTACATATACCAATATGGCAACAGCCTGATTAATTCTAATTGGATGGATGGATAGATGGATGGTTAGATAGGATGGATGGATGGATGGATGATCGATGAATGATCGGTTGATTAATGTATGGATGATTAGAGAGGATGGATGGATGTATGGATGAACTATGAACGATGGATGGATGGATGGATGGATGGATGGATGATCAATGAATGTATGGATGATTAGAGAGGATGAATGGATGGATGATAGATGAACGATGAATTGATGGATGGATGGATAAATCGATGGATGAATGGATGATAGATGAACGATCAATTGATGGACGGATGGATAAATGGATGGATGGATAGAGATGATGGATGAATGGCCGAATGATGAATGATCGATGGATGAATGGATGGATGGAATTTGATGACCAATGGATTGATGGATGGAGGGACGGATGAATGATGAACGATCGACTGATGAACGATGGATGATGAAGGATGGATGGATGGATGGATGGCTGAATGATGATGATGGATGGATGGATGGATTATGGATGGTTAGAGATGATGGATGGATGGCTGAATGATGATGGGTGGATAGATGGATGGATGGATCGATGAACAATTGATTAATGGATGAATGGATGGTTAGAAAAGGATGGATGGATGATTGATGAACGATCAATTGATGAATGTATGGATGATAAGAGAGGATGGATGGATGGATGGATGATAGATGAACGATCAATTGATGGATGGATGGATGGTTAGAGATGATGGATGGATGGCTGGATGATGAATGGTCGATGGATGGATGAATGGATGGATGGATGGAATTTGATGATGGATGGATGAATGGATGGATGGATGGATGGAATTTGATGATGGATGGATGGATGATGGATGGATGGATGGTTAGAGATGATGGATGGATGGCTGGATGATGAATGGTCGATGGATGGATGAATGGATGGATGGATGAATTTTGATGATGGATGGATGAATGGATGGATGGATGGATGGAATTTGATGATGGATGGATGGATTGATGGATGCAGGGATGGATGAATGATGAACGAACGACTGATGGATGATGGATGGAGGATGGATGGATGACTGAATAATGATGATGATGATGGATGGATGATGGATGGTTAGAGATGATGGATGGATGGCTGAATGATGATGATGGATGGATGGATGATGGATGATGGTTAGAGATGATGGATGGATGGCTGAATGATGATGATGGATGGATGGATGATGGTTAGAGATGATGGATGGATGGCTGAATGATGATGATGGATGGATGGATGATGGTTAGAGATGATGGATGGATGGCTGAATGATGATGATGGATGGATGGAAAATTGAAAAAAGGGTATCAATTTTATTCACTAGAACAACCAAAAATGTCTGGATTACGCATATAAGATATCCCTGAGTATCCGCTGACACTATGAGAACACCCCTGGGTGCTACTGATGGGACTCTTTACCTCCAAACATGAACCTGAGAAATGTCTTGTGTCTCAGGTTAGAGATGATGGTTGGATGGCTGAATGATGATGATGGATGGATGGATGATAGATGATGGTTAGAGATGATGGATGGATGGCTGAATGATGATGATGGATGGATGGATGGTTAGAGATGATGGATGGATGGCTGAATGATGATGATGGATGGATGCATGGATGATGGATAGAGATGATGGATGGATGGATGATGGATAGAGATGATGAATGGATGGCTGAATGATGATGATGGATGGATGGATGATGGATAGAGATGATGAATGGATGGCTGAATGATGATGATGGATGGATGATGGATGGATGGTTAGAGATGATGGACGGATGGCTGAATGATGAACGATTGATTGATGAATGGATGGAATTTGATTTTCAATGGATAGATTGATGGATGGATGGATGGATGAAATTTGATGATGGATGGATGATGAATGGTTGGATCCATCTCATTCAGCTTTACTATGTACTACAGTACACCCAAATCGCTTTACAGTTATATCAGGGGTCTCTCCTCAAACACCACCAGAGTGCAGCATCCACTTGCTCTCATTCCACAACCGTTGTTCAAGAAAGCTTGAGTAACACTATAACAGGATCTTTATTGTCATTGCTAGCACTGAAGATGTTTCTGTGTTTGTTCAGTTGTGTGATCGGGGGGCTCCTCTGGCCTTGCTGGAGCTGCTGGTTTCTGCAGGTGTTCATGAGCAGCAGTTGCGTGGAGCTCTGAGCGTGTGTATCAGGAGGGGTGAGGACACTGTGGTCACGCTCCTGCTCAGGCGTTTGGGCCTGGACCGCACCAACAGCGCCCTGTGCCTCGGGAGCTTCCGCCTCGGACAGATGAAGGCAACGTGGCTCAGCGCTCTGCTCTCTGAGTGCAGGACTCAATCTCCAACGAGCGACAAGAACAGTGAGTCCATTCCCATGATCTGGCAATGCCTAATGCTGTTTGAAGTTTGGCATGTATTTGACAAACATATTCTGGGGTCATTATTCACTATAAAAATGTCAGAATTTTCTTCAATAGAGATTTCTATGTAATGTTCTGCTTTGAGAAAGGAAATTGAAAAAGGGTATCAATTTTATTCACTAGAACAACCTAAAATGTCTGGATTACGCATATAAGATATCCCTGAGTATCCGCTGACACTATGAGAACACCCCTGGGTGCTGCTGATAGGACTCTTTACCTTCAAACATGAACATGAGAAACGTCTTGTGTCTCAGGATGATCTGAATATGGAAATAAGTAACTTTCAGATCCACTGTGACAAACCTTCTCCCAAGGTTGTTTTCTCCATTCTGTCACCTGATGGAGTTTTGGTTCCTTGCCACTGTTGCCTTTTTTTTTTTTTTTTTTAACCTATGTCGCTTTTGGCTTGCTTAGTTGTGGACATTTAATGTAATATTCAACTAAATTATTGATCAGCCTGCATTGACACCATTATATGAGAACTGAACTGAGCTGGACGATGATATCACTGTTTTCGGCTATGTATATAAATTAACTAAATTATTATTATTTTTTTCCAATAAAATTAAACATCACTGAACTTACTTAAGCTGGAATGTGGTGTTCTATTTCACTGTTACAGACCGCCAAAAACGGTCGAACATAGTGGAAGGAGTCGCGTCTTGCGAGCCATATCGATAATCTCGTATTGATTTGTCACCTGTGACCCTGACCGATGACGTGTCGGAAGCTATATCCGCTCCGTTCATGTCACGGTCGTTCTCTGCAGTCATTCTCGCGAAGAGATCTCGCGAAGCGTTTTTGGTGAGCAACTGCTCCCCGCTACAGCTGTGTCTCGGGAGAAATATTTAGATTATATTTGGATTATTTGGATTGGATTATATTGGATTTATCGACGTACATCGGACCATATACCCATTGGTTGTCCAGGGTTTGTTTGGAACCGATCGGTCACTACTAGCAGTGTTGGTGAGTACTCACGTGAACTCAGTGGTTAACCAGGGTTCTGTCAGACTGTGTGTAGTATTTGTTTAAAGGTTCTCTAAGCGATGCTGGGCCAAAACATTTTTGTCACATACATCAAACGTCTCCTCACTATCGGCTAGCTGCCTGTCCCCTAAACACACTGTAAAAAAACGCGGTCTCTGTAGACACCACAGGCTCCACAAACGGCAACAAAAACAATCATGTCTCACCCGGACCACGAAACCTAACAAACAGTGTTCCAGCCAATCACTGGCAAGAAGTATTTGAGGGTGGGTCTGGGGGGTTAGTGCGTGTGCACATGAAGGGTGTGTGTGTGTGAAGGAGAGAGAAGCATCAGAGGGAAGTTTGAAAAATGGCCGACACACGACCAAATAGACGTCATCTGAAGAACAAATTAAAAAGAAGAAGGAGTCGGATAAAGAATGTGCAAAGTTCCGAATTTACATCGGTAGCAAAGCTTTTGAACGATGGCGAGAACTCCGGCGGCAGAAGGGCTTCCAGTCCGACATTCAGGTTGCTCTGTTTTTGCTGGACAGGTGGGTAACGTTAAATTGTTTTTTTTTCTTCTAAATTGACGCTTTATGTTCGCCAAACCCACACAAGGATATAATTAGCTAGAACTATGCACGTTCACAATTATTTCAGGAAGCACGGAAGGGAGGGGGAGGAGATGAGATGCGGCGGAGGGAGGGTCTAGCTAGCCTCCGATTTGTTTGAAAATATTCCGAACGTCAACAACACCCAGGATCGCTCAGAGAACCTTTAATGCCTGATCGACTATTTTTTATGTAAGACTCATTGGTTTACCAGAGTAATACATTAATAAGGCTATAAAGGCCTTTTAATATATAACCCCATTGGTTGACCAGGGTTTTTTTCCCAACTACTGGTCTGGATGCTATGGCAGCTTCATGCTCCCTCTGCTCCGGTCCAATGGACTTCATGGATGCTCACATTCAATGTCCCACTTGCTTAGGCATTGATCACCTCCTTGAGGCTTTAGTAGACCCATGTCCTGAATGTAGTTTGATGTCCTTGGAAATGAGACAACATCGACTGGCTGAATTGGATCTTCAGTTTAGGAGTTCAGCTCCATCCGCTGGGACAGCGCCGCATGTGAGTAGCAAATGTCTGGCCAGTGGGACTGGAAGGCCTTCAAAGAAGATGTGAACCTCCTCTGAATCAAGTACATTGACCCAGCAAGTAGCTGAGCTTGCAAATGCAGTTCAGGGCATTAAGGCTTTATTATCTGTACCCCCTGCTCATCAAAATGTGAGCGAGGGGACAGCGGTGGGTGTTTTAGCTCCTCCCTTGCCCAGGTGTGAGCTGGCATCCAGGTTTTCCAGGAGAGAACCAGACACTTTATCTATTGCAGCCTCTGACTCCTTAGACCGGGAGGAACAGGATTATTATTTGCCTATGGAGGGGACGGTACCCTCACATTCCCAGTTCCAACGTTCCCATAGTGACGACAGCTCTGGCCTTCAGGATGCGCCTTCAGTGGTTTTCACTCTGCAAGACACACTCAAGATGGCACTCGCTAAGCGGAATTTGGATCCACCTCCTCCCTGCCAGGCCAGTCAAACCTCTTGCGTCGTTCAGTTTCCCAGCAGGAGGATTTCCTAATGCCAAGTTGTCCTAACTTCACAGATGTGGTTGCTTCTGCGTTTTGGTTAGCTCCTTTATCCAGGCCTGATCGTGTGGCTCGTACATTAGCGGCAATGGCTGAAGCTGATGAAAAAGGCCTTGGTAACATGCCTCCAGTCGAGCCATGTGTTTCTTCACTGGTAGTGTCACCAGATGAGGCTCTTAGACACAATCTTCGCTGTCCCAACCCAGAGTGTAGACGCACAGATGATCTGGTGGTTAGGATTTACAATACTGTCTCAGGCTTGAGTCATGTGGGAAACTCCATGGCTCAGATTTTGTTGGCACTTTATTCTGCCTTGAGTACAGACCCACCAGATAATGCTACATCAGAGTTACTTGACGCTTCCTTACAAGCCTTGGGGTTAATCTCTTTTTATATCGGAAAGGCTCTTGGGCTTACTACACAAGCTAGGCGGCAGGTTTGGCTAACACAGTCTAGACTTCCAGAGGCATGCCGTAGCAATCTTCGTCAACTACCACTGGTACCTGGGCAGATTTTTGGTCCAGCCGCTCAAGAAGCTCTTGAACGCAGAGTTCGTGCAATGGAGTCTCGGTCCCAGCACTTTGAACGCAGTGTGAGTTATGGACCATCCTCACATCAAATGCCTGTGCGTCATGTAAATCCATTCCAACACAGGCAGGGACAGTCTTACAGGCTTGGACAGCAGGCTACTCGACCTGGGTATGACTTCGAGAAGAGAGGCATCTCATGCTTGTTGACCACCTGCTCGCCCTGCGGCGACTTATCGTCACCCCCCCCCCCCCCAGGGGTAGGGAAACCATACCCCATCGTCTGTGATGGGACACTTTTCAGCCTCTCAACTACAACTTTGGAGAGGGATTACAGACAACAAGTGGCTCCTCGACACACTCGGCGACCCCAATTATGCACACACACTCGGCCCACAGTGGTTCGGGACACTCGTCAAGCTCTTGCTCTATCTCTCGAGGTCCAGAAGCTACTACAAAAAGGTGCGATAGAGCTGGTAGACCCTAAGTCCATCCTGGGGGATTTTATTCAAAGTACTTCCTAGTTCGCAAAAAGGATGGAGGTTTCAGGCCAACCTTGGACCTCAGGCGGTTGAACAGGAGTCTCAAACACCTTCCTTTCCGCATGCTGCGTGTCAAGGATGTCCTACAAGCAGTCGAACCCGGCATGTGGTTCACCTCTGTGGATCTGAAGGATGCATATTTCCAAGTGCCCATTGCACCTCATCACAGAAGGTTTGTTCGGTTCACATTCCAAGGCAGGACATACCAGTATCAAGTCCTACCATTTAGCCTCTCCCTCTCTTCCCGTGTATTCACACGATGTATGCAGGTGGCACTGGAACCTCTACAACGAGGGGGCATGCTGATTCTCCCTTACCTGGACGATTGGCTGCTTTGTGCCAGATCACCTCAGCAAGTAGCCAACAACACAAAGCGCCTACTGGAGCATGTTACTGCTTTAGAACTGAGGGTAAACCTAGAGAAAAGCTGCCTTACTCCATGCCAGTCAATATGTTTTCTGGGATTGGATCTGGACTCCAGAATAATGAGGGCTACCCTCTCAGCACGCAGGAGGCAAGCTATACGAGGAGCCATACGAGGAGCCATGGCTAGGTTCCAGGTTCGGCGCAAGCTGCCATATCTCAACTTCTTATGACTAGCAGGCCTTCTCACGGCTGCCTCATCGGCCATTCACTTAGGACTTTTACACCTTCGTCCTTTTCAGCGTTGGTTGATAGCCAGATGGTTTTCAGCTGTTCACAACTGACATACCATTGTTTTGGTGACAACCAGTTGCTCTGTCTCCCTGAGGCTTTGGGAACAGTTTTTTTTTCGGGAACAGTTTTTACAAGGTGTACAAATGGGACCACCCCCAGCACGCAGAGAAGTAGTGACAACAGATGCCTCTCTCTCTCCGGATGGGGAGGGCTGTGGTAACACCAGGGCATGCAGGGGAATTGGACCTTGCAGTAGATGACATCTCACATCAACATCCTAGAGCTGTGGGCAGTGCTCTTCACTCTAAGACACTTCAGACAGGAGTTATCGGGCAGGCACATTCTGGTGTGGACAGATAACACCACAGTGGTGTTTTTAATCAATCACCAAGGGGGCACGAGGTCTCTACCTTGCCTTCGGCTTTCACGAGTCCTCCTGTTGTGGGAAAACCAGCACTTCCTGTCGATCAGGGCGGCACACATTCCCGGTAACCGCAACAGTGTGCAGACTTACTCTCTCGGTCGGGTCCGAAACCAGGGGACTACTGTCTGCACAGGGCGGTAGTTCAATCAGTTTGGGGACTTTATGGGACCGCAGCAGTTGACCTCTTTGCCAGCAGGATGACAACACATTGTCCGCTGTGGTTTGCGGAGCAGGAGGAGCAGGGGTCGCTAGGCCAGGATGCCCTGGCCCATGACTGGCCAGACCTACTCCTATATGCGTTCCCACCAATTCCACTTCTTTGGCCTGTGCTGAGGCGTGTGCAGGTGAGACGACACAGGCTTATTCTAGTGGCACCCTGTTGGCCAGCAAGGCCATGGTTCAGTCTGCTGTTTTTAGTGGTTTTAGTGGTCTCCTTACGACTGGTCCACCACAACCATTGCCAGTTTGGAGGGACCTACTGTCACAAATGAACGGGGAGCTTTGGCACCCCTCACTGGGCAAGTTGAGTCTATGTGCATGGCCCCTGGGGTTGAGCAGGAGCTCTCACAGTGTTCTGCAGATGTGAAGAACACTGTCATGAATGCAAGAGCCCCATCAACACGTCGCACTTATGCCAGTAAATGGAAGATCTTTGTTTCATGGTGTACAGATCGGTCTATTAACCCAGTCACTTGCTCCATCAGTTCAGTGTTGGAATTCTTACAACATTTATTGGACACTGGGAGGTCCCCAGCGACTCTAAGGGTATTCGTGGCAGCCTTGTCAGCACATCGGAACCCCTTGGGGGGGAAATCGATTAGTGCGGAAAAATTGGTGGTGGCTTTCCTTCAAGGAGCAGTACATCTTAATCCACCGGTGCGGATAATGCATACCCAGTGGGATCTTTAGATGGTGCTTAACAGTCTGCGTTTACCGCCTTATGAACCACTTAAACAGGCTGATATTAGAAGTCTTTTGATGAAGACTGCTTTTCTCTTGGCTATAACGTCAACCAGAAGAGTAGGTGAGCTTCATGTACTCTCTCGGTGAGTCCACGGTGTCTCAGGTTGGGGCCAATCAGGTTACACTCTGGCTGAATCCAGCTTTCCAACCTAAGGTGTTGTCTGATGGCTTTGTGAGCCAACCCATTCAGCTTGCAGCGTTTCATCAAGAGGCTTCCCAGACAGCCTTGTGTCCAGTGAGGGTATTGCAACAGTATGTGTTGAAGACTGCTTCATGGCGCACCACTGATCACCTGTTTGTCCGTTTTGATACTTGTCAGAGAGGCTCACCCCTGTCGAAGCAAAGGTTGTCTCATTGGTTGGTGGATACCATTGTACAGGCATTTGACTCGGCTGGTCAGACAGTTTCAGGGTCTATTAAATGCCATTCAACCCAGTCAGTGGCTACTTCTTCGGCAGTACTACGTGGGGTGCCCCTTTCTGAAATATGTGCAGCGGCTACATGGACGTCACCTTGCACGTTCACAAGATTCTACAGGATCAATGTGGCCCCTATTTCTTTGATCAGTTCTGCTGTGTTAGCAGGCAGTATCTAGGTGAGTGGTCCTCGTGACTTGGTGGTATTCGCCTTCCACTATGTTCGACCGCCAGAGTCTCTGGTCACTTGGATTGAGAGAATGACTGCAGAGAACGACCGTGACATGAACGTAGCGGATATAGCTTCCGACACGTTATCGGTCAGGGTCACAGGTGACAAATCAATACTAGATTCTCGATATGGCTCGCGAGACGCGACTCCTTCCACTATGTTCCACGAAGTTGATATTTTAGTCACTGGCTTGACTTATTCATAAACAGTATTGAACGATTTTGAGAGAAAGATTAACTTACCTGTCTGAACTTGAACAATTAGGCTACACATCAGAAATTGTTGCTTGGTGGCTCGATCGATTTATTCTCAGACGTTCATCGAGTTGAGGAAACAGTCCTCGGTGGGGAAGTTGTGTCGGCGCATTTCCATAGAAAATAAAATTAACCCATTGTTCCTTCAGAGGCTTGGATGAAGGAACTAAGAAATACTTTTGTGTTCATTTGTACATCCGAACACTGATCAACTGCCATGCTTCGCTCGCATGCAAGCCATGATATCTCTCGAGGAAAAACTCAAATCGCGCCTGCGTGTTCGTACTTCTTGTTCCTAGCTCATTTTCTCATGGGCGAGCCAAATTCTCCGGGCGGGCAAGGCAGAGCAAGGGGAGGTAACCTTTCCTCGTTATGACGTAATAACGAGGAGATTTAAGATCTGAGCTGCAGAGAAGAGAAAGATAGCCAAAGCTCGGTTTACACCGATTGAAAATTCTAGACACAAGGGGATTAAATACAGGCTAGAGGAACTAATATTAACGTTAAAAACCTCAGAAAGGGACAACTTCATGTCAGGGGACCTTTAAGGATGAAGTTGCAGTTTAATACATTTAAAAGTTTATTACTTTTAAATAATTACAGTCAAATTCATAGTCTTGTGCTTTAGTTTGTTAGTCAACATATCAAAGTAAGTGAACTTCATTAAGGTATGACAAAAGTTTAATTAAAAAATAACATTAATTAAAAATAACTTTAAAGCTGCACACTTAAACTTGACCTTTATTTCACTCATTTTAAATGATTAGTATTTTTTAAATATATATATATATATATATATATATATATATATATACTTTCAAGATTTGAGGGCACATTCAAGTGCACATTCAATAAAATTAAGCAAATTTTTTTTAAAATTCTGTCTAAAAACATGGGGCTTGTCTTTACTGCTTAAAATAAGTAAAGGAACACCAGTTTTTACACCATCCACAGAAAGTGCCAGTTTACTTGTGGCATCTAGAGAATCAGTTTGTCACTACTATTACCAAGTATTTGGGGAATTGAATTCTACAGAACAAAAACTAGCCTGACTGTTGATGGTTCATCTTTTCTCTGCGTCTCTTAAGGTAAAGGTCAGCGTTTGGCCAGACAGATCTTGTCACTCCAGAGGAGGAAAGAGTTTTCGGGAGTCAGTAGATTACAGAGTGATGTCAGCACATTCGGATACTTAACGGACGAGGAAAGTGACGACTCGCACATTTCCTTAGATGAAAGCTTAGTCTTCATGTTTGATGGCTTGGAGAGTGACGGTAAGATGATTCTCATGGAAACACCAAGTCATTTCATGTGATGCGGGTCATTTTGTTTGCGTTGCCTTTTCGACCATGATATGCTCAAAAAGTTTGGATGTATTAATAGTTATTGAATTATGCAGAATCAATGTTGACTTACACTCACCTGAAGGATTATTAGGAACACCACACTAATACTGTGTTTGACCCCCTTTCGCCTTCAGAACTGCCTTAATTCTACGTGGCGTTGATTCAACAAGGTGCTGAAAGCATTCTTTAGAAATGTTGGCCCATATTGATAGGATAGCATCTTGCAGTTGATGGAGATTTGTGGGATGCACATCCAGGGCACGAAGCTCCCGTTCCACCACATCCCAAAGATGCTCTATTGGGTTGAGATCTGTTGACTGTGGTGGCCATTTTAGTACAGTCAACTCATTGACATGTTCAAGAAACCAATTTGAAATGATTTGTGACATGGTGCATTATCCTGCTGGAATTAGCCTTCAGAGGATGGGGACATGGTGGCCATAAAGGGATGGACATGGTCAGAAACAATGCTCAGGTAGGCCGTGGCATTTAAACGATGCCCAATTGGCACTAAAGGGCCTAAAGTGAGCCAAGAAAACATCCCCCACACCATTACACCACCACCACCAGCCTGCACAGTGGTAACAAGGCATGATGGATCCATGTTCTCATTCTGACTCTACCATCTGAATATCTCAACAGAAATCGAGACTCATCAGACCAGGCAACATTTTTCCAGTCTTCAACTGTCCAATTTTGGTGATCTCTTGCAAATTGTGGCCTCTTTTCCCTATTTGTAGTGGAGATGAGTGGTACCCGGTGGGGTCTTCTGCTGTTGTAGCCCATCCGCCTCAAGGTTGTGTGTGTTGTGGCTTCACAAATGCTTTGCTGCATACCTCGGTTGTAACGAGTGGTTATTTCAGTCAAAGTCGCTCTTCTATCAGCTTGAATCAGTCGGCCCATTCTCCTCTGACCTCTCGCATCAACAAGGCATTTTCGCCCACAGGACTGCCGCATACTGGATGTTTTTCCCTTTTCACACCATTCTTTGTAAACCCTAGAAATGGTTGTGCGTGAAAATCCCAGTAACTGAGCAGATTATGCAGACGTCTGGCACCAACAACCACGCCACGCTCAAAATCACCTTTCTTTCCCATTCTGACATTCAGTTTGCAGTTCAGGAGATTGTCTTGAGCAGGACCACACCCCTAAATGCATTGAAGCAACAGCCATGTGATTGGTTGATTAGATAATTGCATTAATGAGAAATTGAACTGGTGTTCCTTATAATCCTTTTGGTGAGTGTAAATTATTATTGCTGTTATTAATTTAGCACTGTTAATTGACTCACAGGAGGAAAATTGCACTTACACATAATATCTGAAAGAATGAACGTGCCGTTCCATTGGTAGGGAGTGACGGACCTTCACATGGATTATTGCCGTTCAACGATTCACCAGAAGAGGGCAGAAAACCTGCTTGGAGAAATCACAGTCGATGTAGACGTGCCAATTCAGAGGTACCACATCGAACACATGCACTTTTTGTGGTCTGTGTGCTTGGATTTTAACAATGAGGCTCTCTGACTGAACATCTTTTGTACAGGGATGTCATCGTGAGACAGATGCAAGCATCCCTCTGTATAGGCGCTTTAACTCTCACAACACCAGAGGTACACACTGTATAACAAGCTCACGGGAACTAGTCCGACAGCTTTCACCCGATCAATGTGTCTTCTGTTGTGTTAACTCTACAGGGCAGGGGTTCGTGGAAAGCTCGACTCCTGGTGCAGTTCCCCCGGACATAGACAAAGACCCCATCCGTCTGCTCGACCTATCAGGGAATGAGCTGAGCAATCTGTCCTGTTTGATGGATGTGAGCTCTCTTAAGCGACAGATCGAAAACCTTCTTCGGCTTGATCTGAGTAAAAACAGTCTATCAGAGTTTCCCAGTGTTCTCTGTCAGGTGTGTGGAATTAAATCAGTGTGTTGTCAAAGTTAACATGAAACGGCGTTCAAAACCCTTTCTGTAATGTTTCTACAATATCCTCAATGTTTCTGTGAACATGTTAGTTACTATCGGTTTTAGTACTATGATCAAGCAGAACATAAATGAAATGATGTTAAGTTCACTTGTGAAAAAAGAAGTATGCTTTAACATACTTTTAAAAAGAGTTCATGTTATGGGAATGATATACTTTAAAAGAATATACGTAAGTGTGAACTGAATGTAATGTGTTCGGACGCTTAATTGCAATTATATAAAATGTATTATAGTCAGGGTTACTTGAAACAAAATAAACCTTAACTGAAATAAATTAAAATATTATTGATTTCAGCTTGTTGCCAAAGCAACATTTCTCATTTTCATTTAGTTTGATGTACGATCAAAGGTAATACAATAACACTGATTATAGTTTATAAATTTTTAAAATTATATATATATATATATATATAAATTATATATAAATAAATTCTATTATATAAAAATATATAAATAAATCATTTTATATATATATACATTATTATATATATATATTATAAATATATACATTTATAAATTTATATTACATGCATATATCTGAATTTTAGAGTGCTTTTTAACCCACTGAAGTCATAGCAATATGGGTAAAGGGTACTGTAATTTCATAAAGTGAAATTTGTGTGTCATGTATTTAAATATATTTGTAATTACAAATCTTTTAAGGAAGTTGCAGTTTAGTACATTCAAATTATTAACTTGAAATGTAATCAAATGACACACTACAATTAAAATCAAGTGTATGTGCTTTAGATTGTTAGTCAATCAAAATTAAATATATTGCTGTAAAGCACTCCAAACATTTTTTTTTTATTATAATGATTTTAATAATGATAAAAAGCTGTCAAGAGTTGCTGTGCAAACAGTCTTAAATAATAAATCCACACAGGGAATACACAACCACGTAAACTGAAAAATTGAACATTAAAGGAGAAGTTCACTTTAAGAAAAAAAAAACTTTTGCTGATAATTTACTCGCCCCCATGTCATCCAAGATGTCCATGTCTTTCTTTCTTCAATCGAAAAGAAATCAAGGTTTTTGATGAAAACATTCCAGGATTTTCTCCATATAATGGACTTCAATGGGAACCAAACGGTTCAAGGTCCAAAAGACCGTTTCAGAGCAAACTGTTCAAAGGGATTTAAACGACTCCAGACGATGAATAAGGGTCTTATCATGTGAAATGATAAGAATAAATAATTAAAAATAAAAAATAAAAAAAGTTAAAGTTTTATAAGCTCAGATACTCGCCTTGCTCTGTTCTGTGTGATTCTCCTGTTCGAACTCAAAATCAACTCAAAATGAACAAATCTTTTTTCTCAGTCAATTTGTTCATTTCGTTTGTTGAATGAACCAAATGACTCGAAAAAAGATTCGTTCATTTTGATGAACGAGTTCGAACAGGAGAGTCACAGAACAGAGCAAGGCGACCATCTAAGCTTATAAAACTTAAACTTTTTTTATTTTTTTAAATGAGCGATCGTTTTGCTTGATAAGACCCTTATTCATCATCTGGAATCGTTTAAAGCCCTTTGAACAGTTTGCACTGAAACTGTCTTTTGGACCTTGAACCGTTTGGTTCCCATTGAAGTCCATTATATGGAGAAAATCCTGGAATGTTTTCATTAAAAACCTTAATTTCTTTTCGACTGAAGAAAGAAAGACATGGACATCTTGGATGACATGGGGGTGAGTAAATTATCAGCAAAAGTTTTTTAAAAGTGAACTAATCCTTTAAAACAGAAATACAAACATATATGTGTATATGTATATTTTTAAGATTGGAAACAGTGGCCCAGTTGTAATATTATGATTGTATAAATTGCATACAGTATATAAAATAGTTATTTTCTTTTCCTTAGAGTTTAAGAAGTCTAACCCGTCTAGATCTCCAAGGGAACCAGTTGCAGTCTCTTCCCGGAGAACTCCTGCGTTTGCCGGCTCTGAGCGCGCTCAATGTGTCACACAACTGCATCGGTCCACTTCTGCTGCTGGACCCGAGTGTGTGCAGTCCATCCTTACGCCAGCTCAACCTCTCCTTCAACCAGATCACCGTCTTCCCCTTCCAGCTGGGCCAGGCCACGCGCCGACTGGAGGAGCTCTCGCTGGAGGGGTGTGTAATGGGGCGATGGTTGTATAGTGTGTATATATATTGTGGTTAGGGATATACATAAGTGTATGCACATATCAACAGTGAACTATTTTTCCCCCAGCAATCAGATATCAGAGCTGTCTCTCCCTCTCTGTCTGGCTGAATTGAGAGTTTTAGATGTCAGTAAGAATCAGGTTAAAATGGTTTCAGACAACTTCCTCACAGAATGTGTCAAGATGGAAACGTTCACCGCTTCTGTTAACCAAATCAGTAAGTCTGACAACTCTTCACAGCAAACATGAATCAAAATTCCTGATTTTTCCATTTCATCAAAATATATTAATGCGTTGGCTATGCTGCAAAAGCTATTGGCTAATTTCTGTTTAGTAATTGTTTTGTACCAGTGTTATTTTACAGTTATTTTTGCTATTATAGTATTTATTGATATTTTTTGTATTTTCAGTTTTTTTTTTGTCATTTATCGTTTTTATTGCTTTTTTATATCTCTATATCATTTAATTCATTTTGTTTTAGTAATTTTACTACTTCAACTTCATGAACTTTTTTCAGTTAGTTGACAAGACAACATTGCTAATTTTCAATTTAAGTTTTAAAGTTATTCATTAAATACTTGTATTTTCATTAATGGAAAACATTAAAAACACCTGTTTTGGAGAGTGTTGCAGCCTTTCTAAAATCTTAACAATAGTTTACTCTGTAATTTATTGCCAGTTAACAGTGCTATAATAGACATTAACACGTATAGTTACAGCATTAATAACATCTGCCACAAATGATATTGACTGCTTACTTTTCACCATCCAATCAATTCACATTGGATAAAATCAAATATATCACTTTACACGTTTTAAATGTTGTTTCATGAAAACTAAGATGGAGAATCTTGTTTATTGTTTCTGTTGTCTTGTTTTCATACAGGTTCATTGTCACACCTTCCCTCAAAAATAACCACAATCAAATTATCAATGAACAATTTTACAAGTGTTCCAGAAATAATCATGAACTTGCCATCGTAAGTGTGTTTTCTCTCTCTCAAATGTACATAATAATAACAATACAACTTCGGATTTACAAACAGCTCCTGTGATATGCTTTATACATTTTACATCTAACAATAATAACAGTATGCAGTAGTGCTACAGATGATGGCACCAGCTCCTGATTTGGCAGCGCTGGGGGAATTTTTAATTAGAATTTCTTAAAATTACTTTGCATTAATAAGTGCAATTACTTATAATATTACATTTTTTATTTATTGGAAATTTTACAGTAAAGTACTGAGCTTTAATTGAGTTTGAAAAGCTCAAAAATATTCTACTCTTATTAAACGTACCAGTTCCCTTTAGTTGTCGCTCCGAGTTCCGTCGGATGACGACGAATGGGGTTTCACTTAGAAAGCCTATCGACTTTGAGTATTACAAAACAAGCCAATGGCAAAGAAATGCCATGGGTGTGCGGATTTTGCATAGGGTATCGCCGCCTTACCTCGTGGGTATAAAAGGAGGACCCGGCAATATGCAGGTATGTTTTCGCTTCTGAGTTTTGACTATCTTCTAGAATCTTCTAGACGAGCAGCTTCCAGTCAGTGTTGGTGTGATGGCGAGTTCCAGCGAGTTTCATATTCCTGCCTGCTGAACTGAACAGCATGTGTGTTTCTCCCTGGGCGCTTCAGCACTGCTGCGAGCTATTCTCTCACAAAAAGAGCGTGCACGTGGCGCGTCTGAGTGTGGTATTCTGATAGATTCAGCTGATGGACGCGAGCGCTGTTTTGACGTGTTTGGGCTTCGATCGCGCTCAGACAGCGCTCGTGGGTGTATCACGTTCTCGTGACCACCCCAATATAACGGTAGAGACTCAATGAGCTCAATAGAGTGAGAGTTCCCTCATCCACACCCCAATCTATTTTTCTCCACGTGAGATAATACTTGGATAATACTAATGACCTAAGACGGCAGGTCTGGAACTAAACCGACGAAAATTCCTCGGTCCGCACCCCGTCTTTCACATTGCAACCCACGTGGTCCCGAGTGAGGTCATTAGGTCCCCCGGCTGATGAAATCATGTATATCGCCGCATCACAAGGTGAGCTGGAGTCCTCTAGAGATGATGGCTCATCTGTGCTGCTGTCCTTGGATGTGCTAGCATAACGAGTTTGATCGAGAGTTCACAGCTATGCTTTCCCAGGCTGCCGCGAGTATGAGGCTTGTGTGGAACCTTCTCCTTTGACTTTTCGCAACTGCTCAGTGGCCTCTTCCGCCTTCCCTGCCCTCGTAGAGGCCGCGGCCTTGGGTTCCCCCCTGTGGAGTGTATTGTGGCAACACTTATGTGTCCCCACAGCGCCTCCACCTAGCGTGGCGATCCCAAGCAGCTGATTCAGGACGCATCATTGAGCTGCCTGCCGTCACCGACCTTGCTCTACGAGCGACGAAGGTGACCCCACGCTCCCTGAGTCAGGTGATGTCCACATATGTTCTCAGACATCTCTGGCTTAACCTGGTTGATGTGTGCGAGGCTGAGTGAACCCGTTTCCTCAACTCCCCCTTATCCCAGGCTCAGGGTCCCAGTGCTCCGGCACCTAGCTCGTCTGGGCCTTCTTGTCAATTGGGAAAAGAATAAACTTTGCCCCTGGGTAGAGGATCTCTTTTCTTTCGACTCAGTTGCCATCTCCACTCAGCCACTGTTGACTTGCCAGCAATCAAGTGCAAGAGTGTGATTCCACTGAAGTTATTTCAGAGACTCCTGGGGCATGCGGCATCTGCAGCCACGGCAACGCCGCTCAGATTGCTTCATATGAGACCGCTTCAGCTTTGGCTTCGCGACTGAGTCCTGAGGTGGGCATGGCAACACGGCGTGCTCCGAGTACCAGTTACTCCGACCTGCGTTTAGACCTTCCCCCCCGTAGTTGAACCTCAGTTTCTACGGGCTGGAGTGTCATTAGAACGAGTTTCCAGGCACGGGCTCAGCTGATTTGGGATCAATTCGGGATGCACAGATCTGTTTGCCTCCCACGACTCGTCCCACTGTGACCGGTTTTACTCCCTGTCTGAGGGCACGCTCGGCACGGATGCACTGGTGCACAGCTGGCCTGCGCAATTATGCATTTCCTCCAGTGAGCCTTCTCGCACTGACCCTGTGCAAGATCAGGGAGGATGTGGAGCAGGTCATTCTGGTTGCGCCACACTGGCCCAACCAGACCTGGTTCTCCGAACTTGTACTCCTCGCGACAGCACCTCACTGGCCATTTCCTCTGAGGAATGACCTCCTTTCTCAGGGACGGGGCATCCTATGGCACCCTCATCCCGATCTTGGAACCTCCACGTGTGGCTTCTGGACGGGACGAGGTAGGTTTGAGTACCCTACCACCAGCGGTGGTGGCTACCATCACTTCCGCTAGAATGTCGTCCACTACACACGTCTATGCGTTGAAGTGGAACCTCTTCATTAACTGGTTCTCCTCTCACCGAGAAGACCCCCGGAGATGTTCAATCAGAGTTGTGCTTTCCTTCCTTCAAGATGGTTGGAGTGAAGGCTATCTCCCTCCACCCTGAAGGTCTATGTTGCCGATATTGCCACGCACCATGATCCTATCGAAGGTAAGTCTGTGGGAAAGCACGACCCGATCGTCAGGTTCCTGAGAGGACGAAGGAGACTGAATCCTCCTCGCCTCCTCTTGTTCCCTCTTGGGACCTCTCAGTGGTTCTAACTGCCCTGCAGTGTGCTTCCTTTGTGCCTTTGCAGTCAGTTGAGGTTAAGTTCCTGTCAAGAACACAGCGCTCCTTGTTGCATTGGCCTCCATCGAGAGGGTAGGGGACCTGCACGCATTCTCCATTGAATAAGCGTGCCTGGAATTCGGGCCAGCCTACTCTCACATGATCCTGAAACGCCGGCCTGGATATGTGTCCAAGGTTCCTACCACTCCATTCCGCGACCAGGTGGTGAACCTAGCGCTTCCACTGGAGGAGGCAGACCCAGCCTTGACACTGCTCTGTCCAGTACGTGCTCTTCGTGCCAACGTAGACCTCAGACCAGCTCTTTGTCTGTTATGGTGGGAAGCTGAAGGGAAAGGCTCTCTCCAAACAAGGGTGTCCCACTGGATGGTGGGTGCCATTGCTTTAGCCATACCAGCAGCAAGGTTGTCCATGCCCCCTTAGTGTCACTGCCTACTCCACCCGGAGTATGGCATCCTCTTGGGCTCTAGCGCATAGCCCTCGCTAACAGACATCTGCAGAGCTGCAGGCTGGGTGACACCTTACACATTCGCCAGATTCTACAATCTCTGAGTGGAGCCTGTGTCCGTCCATGTACTCGTTTCAACCAGCCGGTACTAGGACCAGCTCAGGTGTCTATACGTGCGATTATTCTCCTCATGTGAGCCTTGTAAGACCGGAGTTCCTCCAGCACTGGTGACGCCGACGCCAGTGTCTATTGCCTGCATGTTGGCTAGGTGCCTCCCATGTGCATGATCCCTCCCCTGAGCGACTCCCACATGTGTATTTCCACTGTAAGTCTCTCTGAGCATGTGTCTTTCCCTTGGCAAGCCACCTTGCCACCCCTTGGGTTGAAATATTTCACTTGCAGCTGGACACCCCAGTGTTTCATCATATGCTTCCTTCAGGTCATATGTGTATTCTTAAGTCGCAGGGCACTGGAAGACAGCTGTGAAGATGGCGTGATTAGACTGGTAACCCCATTCGTCGTCATCTGACGGAACTCGTGCGACTACGAAAGCGAACGTATCTTGGTTACGTATGTAACCCTCATTCCCTGAGTAGGGAACGGATGCGTTCCGTCTTCCTGCCACGTTCCGCTGTACCGCTGGAACAGCCGAGTTCAGTCTTGGCTCCTCAGCGAAGAAAAATACCTGCATATTGCCGGCGTCCTACTTTTATACCCATGAGGTAAGGCGGAGATACGCTATGCAAAATCCGCACACCCATGGCATTTCTTTGCCATTGGCTCGTTTTGTAATACTCGAAGTCGATAGGCTTTCTAAGCGAAACCCCATTCGTCGTCATCCGACGGAACGTCTCTGTTCTCTACTCAGGGAATGAGGGTTAAATGCGTAACCGAGACGTTTTCTTCCATAAGATCATGCTTAAGTGGCCGACTGCTTCAGTGATTATAAAAGAAGCAATCTTTACTTGCTTTGTGTGTAATTTAATCACAGTTTGATGAAAAGTGTTCTTTGTGATGACTTGTTTTCCAAATATTGGATAAGCGAGTGGATAAGTCAATAAGTTCTTGTTGCAATAAGTTCTCTGGCACCATCTACTGGTTGTAGAGGAAATCTCTAGTCTTTTTTTTCTCTAATCTCGAGTGTTTTTTTTTCTTCTATGAAGTGTTAGTTTGCTTGCTACAAAGTGTTAGTGTTCTGACATGTTTAACATTTTAGTTTTACAAATCATTCCATTAAAAAATAACTAAAACATTTCGAACTTTGAAAAGCTGGAAACGCGTGAAGCGTTTGAAAGCCCTTGAAAATTGCTTGAATTTCACTCTCAAATGTTGTACAAACCCTGAGATGAATACAAATAATAAAAAAAAACCATTCTGCCACAATACCATGGTTACAGTTAGCGTTACACATTTTTGTAATCTAAGACTTAAACATTATCCTTTAAAATCTTACATGAGACAGTTTTGCTCGAGATTGTGCGCTGAAATTACAGATTGACAGACATTCCTAATCAATCATCACCTCTCCTAAAGTATTAATAAGTGTATCATTTGCATACAAAGATGCTGTTCATAAAGCCTCACTTGTTTTGAACTTGGAACTCTTTTAACACGCGTCTTTGTCTGTTAGTTTGCGTTCGGTGGACATGAGAAAGAACAGCATTAGTGTTCTTCTGGGTCCAGCTTCATGGGTCAGTGTAAACCTGAGAGAGCTGATGTTCAGTCATAATCACATCTCCACACTCGACCTGAGCGGCCCGGTGTACAAGTGGGCCCGACTGGAGAAACTCCATTTAAGCTCCAATAAACTCACTGAGGTATGATTCATATCGCTGTCTGACACACTGTGGTTTTGGTCTGTCTTTGTGCCTGAAAGGGTTTATTTGTAATAAAATAATGAGAAGTAAGTGTTTTGTGCTTTTGTTCTTTAGATCCCTCCTCAGATTGGTATGTTGGAGGACCTGACGTCTCTAGATGTCAGTCAGAATGAAGGTTTGCGCTCTTTCCCCGATGAGATGGGAAAGCTGGCTCATTTATGGGATCTACCTCTAGACGGTCTGCAGCTCCAGCTGGACCTCAAACACATCGGAAGCAAAACCAAAGACATCATCAGGTCTACGTCTAAGCATGTCTCTTTTAGATACTGTCCCTTTAAATACTTTATGTAATTTAGCTTTTATATACATCATCAGTGACCATATTTCTATAGAGGGTATGCGCGTGACGTCACCGTCGGCCGGAGCGCCTGCAGTTACTCACAGTGAGTGGCAAAAAGACTGAGCGGCTGTATTTGTTTAGCGTGAATGCCGCGAAAAACAAACACAACACATATAAAGTGGGAAAGAGCTTTGCGATTGACTGTTCAACTAGATTTGACAAAAAATCAGAGGTATATTTTTACAGACTGCTATAGAAAGAGGAGCAAATGAAACAACTGGACTCCAGTCAGTGAAAGCTGGATTTGCAGTTATCATTTTGTGTCAATATGCTGAATTTAGGTGTAAAACCATACCCATATATTTAGTATTGTTATATATATATATATATTAACAACTCATCAATTAACTATTTATCATTGCGTATTCTGCATTATTGGATGTTTTTTAATAAACTCTGACCAAAAAAAAAAAAAAAAAAAGTTTTAGGGCTGGACGATATGATGACATATATATATATAGGCTATATATAACACTGATATAAGTGATCAACCGGATTTAGACCTACCTATATTGTATTTCTATAAAGCGCTCACAGGCAAATTTGCTTTATGTTTAGGTCTATATTGCTTTTATTTCCCCGGTGTCGAAATCAGGCAAACATAAACGTCAGGCAACACGATTCCTGGCCACATGTCAATATCCATGGATCACTCACTGGATCTTTAGTAAGTTGTAAGGAACACTATATTGAGTCCAACATTTAGTTTAATTTGATAAAATTGTTCGTTTTAGTCGCATTTTCGCAGTTTCCCCTATTAAATCCAGTCACACAGCAGATCTTTTGCCGCTCAGTCAGTCTGAGGGGGGTTGTGGCGGGAAAGTGACGTCAATGCATTCCCTCTATTGTTTAGAAGTGATCATTGCCATTTTATTTTGTTTTTTATTTGTTTTTATTTGTTTTGTTTTTTTTGTTTCGTCTTGTCGGAATTGGCAGATGATAATATTAGATATTATTTATCTAGATATTATTTTATAGATATAGTCTTATGAATTTACTTAAACCTCTGCATGTAAACCCCTGGATTTGCATTACAGTGTGTTTAGTATTCAATAATTTTTATAGTGCAGTTTTATAAAATTACCTATTAAATCAGTTTAAATATTGTTTTGTTTTTATGATCTAAAGTTTAAAGACAACATGACATTTAAATTGTAGTCCTTGTCTATTCCTAACACGTGTGCTTCTAAAAGTTGATTAACCCTCTGATGGTCCTCGGTCACTTCTGACCGAATAATTTTCTGTTTTGAATTATTAAAAATCACAGCTTCATCGGAAGGTTATGATACTTGGTGACTTTTTTAGCATTTGGTATGTGAATACAAAAAAAAAAAAAAAAATTGAGGTGATGATCCGGGCATGCTAAATGGTCGTAAAAAAAATAGTCACACTCGTGGTCTTCCGTCAGAAATGACCGACCCATAGGAAATGAATGGGAAATTTACAAAAAAACACATTGTACAATCTACAAATCGGCCACGATTCTTAAAAGAAGTATACCGCAGTAAAGGGGTGACACTCTACAACATCAAGAGTGCAAAAAATGTACACCCACCCACAAACACACACACATACAAACACACTTTTATACACATACACACCAATAAATTCAGACTACAAAAAATCTGTTTTGAATTTTTAAAAATCACAGCTTCATCGGAATGTTACGAAACTTGGTGACATTTCTGGCATTAGGTATGTGAACACATTAAAAAATTGAGTTTGTGATCCGAGCATGCTAAGTGGCCGTAACAAAATTAGTCACGATTTTGGTCTTTGGTCAAAAATGACCCCCATAGGAAATGAATGGGAAATTGACAAAAATTCACAATGTACAAAAGTAAAAATTTTACAATTTTTTTAAAAATAAGAAATAGTTTTTATATTGTTTCAATTATATATTCAAATCCACCACCAAAAAATAAATAAATAAATGTTTTCATAAACAGCTGGGGAATTCACATGCTTCTCCATAGAGAGCTGTACATACCATCTAGTGGTTACACCATGATTCTACGCTTTTTCTCTATACTGTAACCAAATTGTGCTAATTTTCTTCAAAAAATATATTTTTTTCTGAAGGCCTGGACTCTATATTAAACAAAAATACTGCATTAAGAATAATAATAAAAATATATATATATATATATATATATATATATAGAAAAATATATATAAATTTCAATTGAAAAATAGACCATAAATATTCCATAAATATTTATAAATTCAATCAAAATGTCTCAAAATACTAAATTAAAAAGAATAAATATTATAGAACAAAAATAAATTGCATTGGTTTTACTGGGATGGAAGAAGTTTCATTTTTAGGCCTCCGGTCACTTCTGACCGGGAAGGCCCAGGACGTGACTTCCTCAGAGGGTTAAATAAACTTTTAGCAGTAATACACTTTTTAAAATCTCTCTTCCGGGAAAAAGGGCAAAACATTTTGAGGACTCATCTTGGACAAAGGGGTGTCTTCAATTTTTTTGCCCAACAGAATGCTCTCTAGAGTACTTATGTCCCTCCCTCTAATTACACATTTACATTTATTCATTTAGCTGACGCTTTTATCCAAAGCGACTTAATTGCTATACATGTCAGAGGTCGCACGCCTCTGGAGCAACTAGGGGTTAAGTGTCTTGCTCAGGGACACATTGGTGTCTCACAGTGGATTCGAACCCGGGTCCCTCACACCAAAGGCATGTGTCTTATCCACTGCGCCATCACCACCCCAAAAACTCCATCCGCCTCTAAATAGCAGTACCGTGATCGTTGTGGTTCTTGCAGGTTCTTGCAGCAGCGTCTGAAGAAAGCTGTCCCATATTACCGCATGAAGCTCATTGTGGTGGGCAGCCCGTGTAGCGGGAAGAGCTCTTTGATTCGGCAGCTGATGAGACTCAAGCGCTCTCAGTGGCGATCCGATCAGCACACCATCGGCGTCCGCAACTGGGCCGTCAGGAACAAAGAAAAGAGGAACATGCAGCTGAATGTTTGGGAGCTATCTGGTGAGCATCTACATCTAAATCAGTTGTGGGAAAATATCATCATGATTGCAGATTTTCATCTTTCTATGTTTGTGCAGGTGCTGAAGAATGCAGTGGCTTTCACCCTCACTTTATGAGCTCCAGAGCTCTCTATCTAGTGCTGTATGACCTGAAGAAAGGACCCAGTGAGATAGACACCATAAAACACTGGCTCTTTAACATTAAAGTAAGTTTAACCTTTTACTCCTTCCAGCAAGCACAGAAACACATGTTTTCACAACATTTTTACATCATGTACATGTACATTAAAGTACGGAAGCCCTGAACCGCAACCTAAAAAAAAAAAGTCAGTAAAAAAAAAAAAAAAAAAAAATCTGTAAAAAAAAAAATCTAGCATTTCGAGATTAAAGTCGAAATGTTTTGAGATTAAAGTCGAAATGTTTCGAGATTAAAGTCGAAATGTTTCGAGATTAAAGTCGAAATGTTTTGAGATTAAAGTCGAAATGTTTCGAGATTAAAGTCGAAACATTGTGCATTCATAACAGTGCGCGTCCACTGGCTCAGAGCGCGCGCGTGAAGTCGAACTGCCATGGATAAACACAAAATAGTAGCTTTTTACTTTTATCTGAATTACTTATCTTACTTTATCATTATAAAATATAATGCGCCGGAATAGACTTTAGCCTATAGGAAAACCAACACGGAAAACACTTTTCAGACTGGATGGAGAAATCCAGCTTTATGAATGAATGAATGAATGAATGAATGAATGAATGAATGAATAGGGCATTTATATAGCGCTTTCATATATGCCTACACTTAAAGTGCTTTACAATCATATCAGAGAATCTCTCCTCAACCATAAGTGGTTATTAAATCTTAGGAAATCACAGGATCCGGCCAAATGATTGGATACAGAATGATGCACTTAAAATGTATCCAGAGCGTATTTACGTTGAAGAGGGAGACCGAACAGTTACTGTTGTGTTCTCGACCCAGATAGTGTTGACTAGACGAGCACGAAAACACCTCAGAAACACTGCCACTAGCACGTGTGACGTGTGTAGAATTTTGTTGAAAGCCCAGATAAAAGTAAAAAGCTACTATTTTGGGTTTATCCATTGCAGTTCGACTTCACACACACACACACATGCGCGCGCTCTGAGCCAGTGGACGCGCACTGTTATGAATGCACGTTTCGACTTTAATCTCGAAACATTTCGACTTTAATCTCGAAACATTTCGACTTTAATCTCGAAACATTTCGACTTTAATCTCGAAACATTTCGACTTTAATCTCGAAACATTTCGACTTTAATCTCGAAACATTCCGACTTTAATCTCGAAACATTCCGACTTTAATCTCGAAACATTTCGACTTTAATCTCGAAACATTTCGACTTTAATCTCGAAACATTCCGACTTTAATCTCGAAACATTTCGACTTTAATCTCGAAACATTTCGACTTTAATCTCGAAACATTCCGACTTTAATCTCGAAACATTCCGACTTTAATCTCGAAACATTCCGACTTTAATCTCGAAACATTTCGACTTTAATCTCGAAACATTTTGACTTTAATCTCGAAACATTCCGACTTTAATCTCGAAACATTCCGACTTTAATCTCGAAACATTTCGACTTTAATCTCGAAACATTCCGACTTTAATCTCGAAACATTCCGACTTTAATCTCGAAACATTCCGACTTTAATCTCGAATCATTCCGACTTTAATCTCGAAACATTTCGACTTTAATCTCGAAACATTCCGACTTTAATCTCGAAACATTCCGACTTTAATCTCGAAACATTTCGACTTTAATCTCGAAACATTCCGACTTTAATCTCGAAACATTCCGACTTTAATCTCGAAACATTTCGACTTTAATCTCGAAACATTTCGACTTTAATCTCGAAACATTCCGACTTTAATCTCGAAACATTTCGACTTTAATCTCGAAACATTTCGACTTTAATCTCGAAACATTCCGACTTTAATCTCGAAACATTCCGACTTTAATCTCGAAACATTCCGACTTTAATCTCGAAACATTCCGACTTTAATCTCGAAACATTTCGACTTTAATCTCGAAACATTTCGACTTTAATCTCGAAACATTTCGACTTTAATCTCGAAACATTCCGACTTTAATCTCGAAACATTTCGACTTTAATCTCGAAACATTTCGACTTTAATCTCGAAACATTCCGACTTTAATCTCGAAACATTCCGACTTTAATCTCGAAACATTCCGACTTTAATCTCGAAACATTTCGACTTTAATCTCGAAACATTTTGACTTTAATCTCGAAACATTCCGACTTTAATCTCGAAACATTCCGACTTTAATCTCGAAACATTTCGACTTTAATCTCGAAACATTCCGACTTTAATCTCGAAACATTCCGACTTTAATCTCGAAACATTCCGACTTTAATCTCGAATCATTCCGACTTTAATCTCGAAACATTTCGACTTTAATCTCGAAACATTCCGACTTTAATCTCGAAACATTCCGACTTTAATCTCGAAACATTTCGACTTTAATCTCGAAACATTCCGACTTTAATCTCGAAACATTCCGACTTTAATCTCGAAACATTTCGACTTTAATCTCGAAACATTTCGACTTTAATCTCGAAACATTCCGACTTTAATCTCGAAACATTTCGACTTTAATCTCGAAACATTTCGACTTTAATCTCGAAACATTCCGACTTTAATCTCGAAACATTCCGACTTTAATCTCGAAACATTCCGACTTTAATCTCGAAACATTCCGACTTTAATCTCGAAACATTTCGACTTTAATCTCGAAACATTTCGACTTTAATCTCGAAACATTCCGACTTTAATCTTGAAACATTTCGACTTTAATCTCGAAACATTTCGACTTTAATCTCGAAACATTCCGACTTTAATCTCGAAACATTCCGACTTTAATCTCGAAACATTCCGACTTTAATCTCGAAACATTCCGACTTTAATCTCGAAACATTCCGACTTTAATCTCGAAACATTCCGACTTTAATCTCGAAACATTCCGACTTTAATCTCGAAACATTCCGACTTTAATCTCGAAACATTCCGACTTTAATCTCGAAACATTCCGACTTTAATCTCGAAACATTCCGACTTTAATCTCGAAACATTCCGACTTTAATCTCGAAACATTTCGACTTTAATCTCGAAACATTCCGACTTTAATCTCGAAACATTTCGACTTTAATCTCGAAACATTTCGACTTTAATCTCGAAACATTTCGACTTTAATCTCGAAACATTTCGACTTTAATCTCGAAATGCTAGATTTTTTTTTTTTTACAGATTTTTTTTTTTTACAGATTTTTTTTTTTTTACAGATTTTTTTTTTTTTTTTAGGTTGCGGTTCAGGGCTTCCGTATTAAAGGGATAGTTCACTTTGAAATTAGTTTTTGGTATGTTTTATCTTACCTCAAGGGCATCCAAGATGTAGGTGTCTTTGTTTCCACAGTATTTTCAATTTTGATATTTTTAGGTCAAACCGTTCTTGTCTGTCAGTCATATAATGGAGGTCTATGGTCACCACCTCAAAGAGCATGCACAGAGAAGTCCAAATTACACATGATTTAATGACTCGTAAATGTAAGTACACATTAATCGCTACACGAAACGAGCGGTTTGTGTGAGAAAACGAACAGTATTTATATCGTTGTAACCACAGCCACGTGCAAGTGATCTGAGGACACGGGCGCTTGGGTCTGCCAAACTTTATTTAAAGAGCTGGGCAATCAAGTCCAGTTAGATTTTGCGATAATTAAAAAAAATCTAGCAGTTGAGGTTTGTTATACAGCTTTATGAGAGTTAAAGCTATGGTATACCATGTTGAAAATAGGTCGAGAAAGCCTGAGACGGACGGAAGGGAAGTTTTAAAAAACTCATTCCGCCCCTCCATACACACACACTCCCTTCCCCTCTGAGTTCACGTCAACGCAAGACTAGCAACACATGAAATGTTCTTCTAAGGTTTTGAGTAATTGTTATAGCAGCACACAGCGCATATTGTTCAAATTCCGATCGGCTCGAACAGAAACCCGCTAGGCCTACTCAAATATATTCAAGCACTTTTAGAAATATAATTACTTTGACCCGTGATCGGCGATGCTAAACGGCTAACATTGCCAATGCCGACCGGCAGCATGAGCAAGTTGTCAAACTGATAAAAAGCTATTTATGTAACACACGTCACAACATATAAGTATAAATAAATGTTTACCTGCTCAACAAAAAGTCAGCCGTGCCCGTGTCAGCGTTGTTTTCAGTCCCAGATCTCCCTGAAGCTTCCTCCAAAAGTCAATGTTATCCTACTTAGAGTCCGGCTTCACATTTTGTTTCAATGGATTTTTTTCATTCTTTTTTCTATTCATATTGTTAGGATTGTACTATATAACCATAACCAGCATATAAACAAGGATATTAATAATGAACAATCTTTGAAATCGTATACCCTAGCTTTAAGTACTGCATGTTTTTTGGATAAAGTTAGATATGAAGAGTTCAGATGCAAAAGCCTCTAAATGCCATTTCAAATTTTCTTCTAAAATGACCATTTTTATCAAGCTTGTATATTTAAGTTCAGTAATTTCACTTAAATGACCATTAATAGGACATTTAAGTGAAATTACTGAACTTAAATATACAAGCTTGATAAAAATGATCATCTTCGAAGAAAATTTCAAATGGCACTTGGAGGCTTTTGCATCTGAACTCTTCATATACACCCCACTTTATATAGAGAGCTGTGCGAGTATATAGTTTCAATATTTAAAAACGTTGGAGGAAGCACACCTTACATTAAAAATGAATGTGACCAAAACATTCAGCAAGTTTGAATATTTTGATTAACATAAACTTTGAGAAATGTTACACCTGAGGCAGGAATTGTGTACAACCAAAGTAAACCATTTTGGAAATGTTGTTTAAACGGTAGATTTTCCTTAGGTACAATAATACCTTAGAATACAAAGTTCCTAGTTCCTTAGAATACAAAACCAGACGAACTGTGTTTGTGGAACATTTGGTTGAGGTTTTACATGATTTGCATATTTAAATAAAAAACCTGTTTCTCTCAGGCTGTAGCTGGACAGTCTCCTGTGATTGTGATTGGAACTCATGCAGATGTGTGTGAAGAGCACCACATACAGGAGTGTGTTCTGAAGCTGCGAGAGGAGCTGCTGTCTCAGACCGGGTTTCCAGTGATCAAAGAGAACCTCATGCTATGTGCCTGTGAGGAGTCCGAGTCCATCAACAAGTTACGCAAAGCCATCTACAGAGAGCTCATTGAGTTTAAGGTGATTTACAAATTCCGTTTTTCATGGCACTTATTAGCAAAAATTATCAATTAAATAAAAAAATAAACACCATGAAGTTAAAGTAGTTGAAATAAATAGTCTGCTATATAAATTTTTCTGAAGCCATACAGTTTTTTTTTTGTATACTTTTATGACCGTTCCTTAACATACATTCTTGTAAAGTATACTATAGAAATAAGTACAACATGTAAATTATTTCAATCAATTAATCAACATTTCTTTATACAGCCCTTTACAATGCTCATGGTGAACCAAAGCGCTTTCCAGAAAGAAAAAAGAAAATAATAATAATAATAAAATTAAAAAAAAATATATATATATATATATATATATATAATGACAACAATACAATGCAAACTATAATAAAAATATATAAACAAAGTATATAAAGCCACAAAACAAAATGGATGTCACAAAGAAAACACAAAATGCCACAATAACTGCTATGAATTAAAAGCCAGTCTAAATAAACAATAAAGTCTTAAGCTTAGCCTAAAAGAGGCCCAAGTCAGTGATTAAACGTATATCAACAGGTAGCTTGTTCCAAAGTCTTGGACCAGCTACAGAAAATGCCCGGACACCCTAGAGTCCTTGGGACTTAAGCAAAAGTTGATTTGTTGATCTAAGAGCCCTGTTTGATTGATGCAAAGTTAACATCTCAATTATGTATGGTGCTTTGAGAGCTTTAAAAACAAACAATAAAATCTTAAAATCAACTCTAAAAGAAACTATTGTAGAAGCCAGTGGAGCGAAGAAAGAATTGGATTTATATGCTCACGTTTGCATGTATCAGTTAGAAGACGGACTGCTGCGTTCTGCACCAGCTGAAGGGGCCTGAGTGATGACTGTGAAACTCCAACATAAAGCGCATTACAATAATCTAGTCTTGAACTAATAAAGGCATGAATAGCTTTCTCAAGATCCGAACGATTTAAAAATTGTTTGACCTTGGCCAATTGACGTAGCTAAAAAAAAACTAGCTTTAACCACACGGTCAATTTGTTTATCAAATTTCAGGCTACTATCAAAAGTCACACCGAGATTTCTGATAGTCGGACTAAGGGCCAATCGCAATTCTACCCCTTACCCCTTCACTTTCCCCTTCCCCTCTGTTTTGCGCGTCCACGTGAAGGGGTAGGGTTATCCCAATTCTCTTTTGGTTGGAGGGGGAGGGCTAGGGGGAAGGGCCAGATAGCCCTTCAAACGAAGATTTTTCGGGAGCACACTTCAAACGAAGGGGTATGAGAAGTGTCACTGCTAACCCAGGCTACAGACGCAAAATGGCTGCCCAAGCGACAAAGGAGACCCATAAATTTAAGTATTTGTGGCTTTAATAAGTATTGTAACGACAAATAATGATTTCGTCTCCGTTGTTTCCTGCGAACTTCACAAGATAAAAGCAAGAAAATAGCTGTAACCCACGCGACTGAGATAACTGCAGCTGTCGACGGCATCTTGGACGTTGTGATAAACATCGGCGCATCTCCTGTGACGTAGGCGCTAGCGACGACTTATAATGACGTTTAACGGAGGCGTAGTGGTGTCCCATTTCTTAGGGGAATATTTTCACCCCTACGCATTGCCACTCTGTTTCAAGGGTCAAGGGGAAGGCGAAGGGGTAGGGCTAGGGGAAAGGGAAGGGGTAGAATTGGGATTGGCCCTAAGCCTTGAAACTGGCGTGTTAGGGTCATTAATGGCCTTCTTGGTCTCTTATCTTCGTTTTTAACTGTGTCTGAAGTTAAAGAAATTTGATATGGTTTAAGTTTATGCGATTTCTTCAGCCCACGATTCGCTTAGCATCTTCCAGTCGGTCATCAAATCCATAATTTATTTCAGCTGCTCTTAATTGTGTCTCCTAAAGTCATGTAATTTGTGGATGAGCCTCAGATTCGCCGACACCTCACCAGTCCAGCATGGTATCATCCGGGCAGACATTTAATGGCGACTTTGTGTTTTTTTTTTTTTTCTCCTATTTTGTTAGATTGTAATTGCTTCTTTTGTTTTCACCCATTATGTACAGTACTTGACCTTCCATGTTGACGACAATAGGATATACTAATAGCATCTAATAGTAGTTGTTGTTTCTCTTGTTTTGAAGCTTATGTATATCACTTTGTTGTACCGATTTTTCAAGCTGCCATCCCGTGACGTTACTAGAGCCATTGTATTCGTTTAATGAATCACGTCTGTGCTATTGTCAGATCCAGGGTCAGCCAGTGATGGGGCAGCTGATTCCAGACTGTTACGTGGAGCTGGAGAGGAGAGTTCTGCAGGAGAGGTCACATGTGCCGGCTGATTTCCCAGTGCTCAGGCATAGCAGATTACTGGAGATCATACAGGAAACACAGCTGCAGCTAGAGGAGGGAGAGTTACCCCACGCTATCCACTTCCTCAGCGAGGCCGGTGAGAGTCGCTTAACTCCTGAATCTCTTTCTGACATCTTCCTGCTGCTGTTTATGTCCAATATTTGGGTGTTTCCAGGGCAGGTGCCACTGGAGGGGGTGGTTGTCACAAGATTGTCACTTTACAATTCATATTACACTAAAGTAGGCTGCTTTTAAAGATCATTTATTTCTTATTTTGCTAAATTACCTTCCTTAGTAAACTTAACAGAGGTTTTACATAGTTTAGATCTAAACTGGAATGCCACTGTTTCCAGCACACAAGCTCATAAAGCTTCTTCTGATCTGGAATTCATGGCTTTACAGCCGTCACAGACCCAGCACTTGATTTGTCCTGGTTAACTACTTTATTAAAACACTTTTCTTTCCTACATTTTGTTTAGTTTTTAACTCTCCGTTTTAAAATATCCTTCTGAAATGTTTTGCCCCCATAGAGTGCCGAAGTCACTTTGTAGGCCAAGCGCGGAAGTGAGTTAGCATTTTATCACTCCCGGTTCCCTCGCCCTAAAGTCTATGGGATTTTTGAAAAGGGTTTTTGCTAAAACGCCTGAAATAAGGTCTGTGGTGAACAAAGCCTCTAAATATTTTCACGTTTTGATCTATGACAAAAAACACAGTTATTACCTGCTTGTGGTTTTTTAAACTTTATTGTGTCTGATTGTGTTTTGTTTTTTTTTAACCCTAAAACTGTATTCTGAACAAATGTGGGCAAAATAGTTTTGATTTTTTTTTTTTTTAAAAATACTTCCCTTGATCTGAGCGGTACAAGACTTGGCTACTTTTCCTAAGTTTGCCTCCTGAACACACACAATTTTTTTTTTTTTTTTTTTTTTGACTCAATTCTACAATGTTAAGTGGGTGAAAAAACTCCTTAAAGGACAACTCCGGCGCAAAACGAACCTTTGGTCTAATTACACATTGTTACCTAGTCAACCGTTATCTGAGATTTGTTTTCATGATTGCCGAATGTAAATAGTTTTATCTCTAAAAACAGTTTAGCCTATAACGCTAGTATAATGCTAGTATATAGGGCATAGAGTAATGACAAATAAAAATCGCTTGTTATTACCACTAACAAGGCTCAAAATAGCCCCACACTAACACAATAGCATAATAAGGGTCTCCACATTCAAACTGAAGCATTGAGAACTTTGTCAGTGTCCATACAGTTTAATAAGAAGATATTTTATACACACAGTCAACTTCGCGAATACAGGAAGAAGCCATCTTTGAAAAATAGTCTCTACCAGTCGATCTACGAACGCCGATCCAAGTGCGCTGGTGAGATGTGAATAAGGTGATAAGGTGAGCGCGAACAGTAGGCTACGTGTACATATTGAAAACGGTTCGTGTTTGTGTTTCTTACGGAAACAACGGACCATATGAGATTCTGCTCAGTTCAGCGCACTTGGATCGGCGTTCGTAGATCGACTTGTAGAGACTATTTTTCAAAGATGGCTTCTTCCTGTATTCGCGAAGTTGACTGTGTCTATAAAATATCTTCTTATTAAACTGTATGGACACTGACAAAGTTCTCAATGCTTCGGTTTGAATGTAGGGACCCTTATTATGCTGTCGTGTTACTGTGGGGCTATTTTGAGCCTTGTTAGTGGTCATAACAAACAATTTTTATTTGTCATTACTCTATGCCCTACTAGCATTATACTAGCGTTATAGGCTAAACTGTTTTTAGAGATTAAACTATTTACATTCGGCAATCATGAAAACAAATCTCAGATAACGGTTGACTAGGTACCAATGTGTAATTAGACCAAAGGTTCATTTTGCGCCGGAGTTGTCCTTTAATCTTGTATTTGGGTCAAAAATGGGCACCCATAGAAATGAATGTGAAAAACTGTAATTCAGAGCATTCTAAAATAAGCCAAAATAAGACACCAGGTGACAGCAAAGTCACTTCATCTTTAGGTTTTAGCTCTAAGAACTTATTGGAATGACATTTTAATGTAGTTAAAAAAATAAAAAAAATAAAACATAAAAATAAGCATAATTTACATTTAAATGTGGTACTTTTTGAAGTAAATAAATTCAAAAAATACCCCCAAAATAAAAAATTAAAAAAACATAAACGGATAGACAAAACTTTATCGAAGACAGTGATATAACATTCATGCTAAATATAAATTAGGATCACACCTGAGTCCTCTGTGCCCACATTTGTCCTCAATTACAGGTTTAAGGCCTATAAAGTGAATACGGTTTGAGGGCTACATAGGCTTCAAAATGTATACATTTTGGATTGACTTGTAAAGATTATCTTGATAGACAAAACGTGTAAGGGTCACAACTCTTTGTTAAACACAGATCTTAGTTTTAGATTTTCCAAAAGTCTATGGGGAAAATGCATTGCTTTTCGATGGAGGGAACCCATGCGCCGCTAACATCCGAGTTGTCCTACAAAGTGACATCATCACTTCGACACTCTATTGCTGCTTATTGCATAGCTTAATAAAAGTCTGCACATTCGTGCCTGATGGAAAACTGAGCTTTAAACACATTAATATTTCCATAATAAGTTGGAAAACACTTATATGAGACTATGGTACGTTTTCTCCAAATTGGGGTGAAAAATATTTAAAATGCCATTTTCATCACAATTGTTTCCCTCACAGAATTTTATCACATTGAATACTAAATTAGCTCTGTCACTGCAAGCCTCAAGACAGATACATCTACACATACATTGAAACGCACAATTTCAACTTCCAAACGTAGCTTGAGTGATCTGATTGTGATCACTTGCAGGAGTGAATAGGCTCTCTTGTCTTTATTTGTCTCCAGGTGTCCTGCTGCACTTTGATGATCCAGTGCTTCAGCTAAAAGATTTATACTTCATTGACCCGCAATGGCTTTGTGACGTCATCTCACAGGTTATACACTCATATCTCACTCCTCTTTTTGACAAATTGACACTTTCAGAGCAGTAACGTCTTCTCTGTTGTGTTGATGAACAGACGCTGACGCTCAAGAGCCCTGATCAGTGGGACAGCACTAGAGGAGTGGTGCAGCGCTCCACGGTAGAGAAGTTTCTGGACAAAAGTCCCTGTTTCCCCAAGAATCATCTGACTCAGTACTTCAAACTTTTGGAGAAGTTTCAAATAGCCTTGCCCTTTGGAGATGACCAGTTACTTATACCGAGCAGGTAGCGATCGATTTTTAAGTTACATTTATAAGAAGTGTTGTGTAGTGCTCATTTTTTTGTGATTGGTATATGCCTAGACTGTCAGATCACAGGCCGGTGTTTGAGCTCCCTCACTGTGAGAATTCAGAGGTGATTGTTCGGCTCTATGAGATGCCGTACTTCCCCATGGGATACTGGTCCAGGCAGATCAGCCGTCTTTTGGAAGTGTCTGCTTTCCTGCTCTACGGCAGAGGTAAAGCAACACACACTTTAGAAGGCAGTATAAAGGATGCCTGTAACTGTGAACATTGTGCTAGCCATGGCAAGGTTTGATTCCCAATGGACACACACACTAATATAATGTATAATCAAGTGAATGCGTTGTTAGGTGATTGGCATTCAAAAGTTTGCCAAATGAACAGGATGTAAGGTGTGTTTTCTGCAGAGAAAGCATTAAGACCAAACCGGATCTACTGGAGCAAGGGCATCTATCTGAGCTGGTCTACTGAAGCTTACTGTCTAGTGGAGGCCTCGTCTCTAGAAGACAACTCTGCTAGCTTCATCAAGATCACTGTGCCCTGCTCTCGCAAAGGTAAGAGGGGGACATGGTGCTATCACAGAGTTTGGGCCATTTTAATGATTCACACTACATGATTTTAAAACGGCGGGCTGAACTGTGCGGTTCACACTACATGACTTGCTCTGTGTGAAATCAGGAGTGTTCAAGTTGTTGAGCTGTTCACACCACACAACACAACGTGATTGATCCGCAACAGGACGTGACGCACTAGACAAGTTGACAACAGCTCTGTCACCCAATAGGCTTGCCGCGATAGACGGTGTTGACGGTGTTACCGGTTTTAAGCCCCATCACCGGTGACATCACTTTCCCACCGTGACACCGCGATGTCTTGACTTTTTTTTTTTTTAAAGTATTCGTTTTTGCTAAAATATTTATTTGAATTAATTAAAAATAATAATTTTCAATTATTTAGTTCTGAAGAGAGCATTATAATTAAAAATGAACTGCGCAACGCGTGCCGTCACGTCACAGATCAGCAAGCATCAGGATTCCATTTAGCACGTGTGGAGACGAGAACGAGTCAAATTACAGAAAAGCAAGATAATGGTGGAAGATTTGGTGTCAAAACGCAATGCAAAAGCGCCTGTTTGGCAATATTTTGGCCAATATATATTAATGTTACTAAATGCCAATTTATAGTGTTTTACTTTTTTTTAGAGTGCTGTCATTTATGTAGGCTAAGGTCCTTTTTAAAGTTTTTATTTTATATTCGTCTCTTTTTATTTGGTTTTATCTTATTTAAACTTTGTTTAATTTATTTAGGCCTATTTTGTTTTCTTATTCGTTAATAAACGTTTTTTTTTTTTTTGGGCCCACAGTTTGCCGATTTTCACTTTTTTCAGCCTATGCATGGGGTTATTTTTATTCGTTCGTTATGCTAATAAAAGTTCTGTCTATATTTTATTCGTTTATTATTCTAATAAAAGTGCTGTCTAAATAAAAGTTTATTGTCAGCGAGTTGTTTTTTTTTTGTCCATTCCAGCAATTGACGCTGAATTGCAATTGACGCTTATTTCGAAAGTGAAAGTATGTCATTTATGTAGGCTAAGGTCCGTTTTGAAGTTTTTATTTTATATTCGTCTCTTTTTAATTGGTTTTATCTCATTTAAACTTTGTGTAATTTATTTAGGCCTATTTTATTTTCTTATTCGTTAATAAACGTTTTATGGTTCTTATTTGTTTGGGCCCACATTTTGCCGATTTTCACTTTTTTCAGCCTATGCATGGGGTTATTTTTATTCGTTCGTTATGCTAATAAAAGTCTATAAATAAAAGTTTTATTATCAGCGAGTTGTTTTTTTTTGTCCATTCAAGCAATTGACGCTTATTTCGAAAGTGAAAGTATAACGCGCACGCATTTAAAAGCTATTTAACCCCCCCGCCCTGCCCTCCACGGTGACACCGGGATTACCGGTGTTGTCACACGTCGATTAACCGGTGGGAAATTTTCCTCACCGCGGCAACCCTATCACCCAATGATTCTATCGTGTCTACAAACCACGTTTTGTCACGAAAAATCACGGGATAAGACGAACCGGAAATGATGCAAAACAGCACCCAGCGAAGAAGAGAAGAAATCAAACACGCGAATATGGACGTCAGACAGAAACTAGTGCTGCACACTGTTTGCGCGATGATTCGCTCTGAGAAAAAAGTGCAAAAAACGATAAAATAAGATTTACCCCGTGACCTCAACCCATGCCTTGCTCTGATTGGCTGGAGCTCATGACATCACTAAGGTTGAGTCGCGCGTAAGCTCTGGATATCTAGCATGCTAGATATTTTTCTGGGCTCGGCGAGGCGTCTGCGAGCGTCTTTGATGCGTTGTTGGCTCTTTCATACTAACAGATTGGCAAGCGTTCATTGGCCGCTAATCCCCCACGATTTGCACGCGATAACACCCTGACCTGTCGGCGACTCAACAATTTGCAAAATCGGGCTTAAAATACTGTAGTGTGAACTAGGCTTAAAGGGATAGTTCACTTTGAAATGAATTTTTGCTATGTTTTATCTTACCTCAAGGGCATCCAAGATGTCGGTGTCTTTGTTTCCGCAGTGTTTTCAATTTTGACATTTTTCAGTCAAACCGTTCTTGTCTATCAGTCATACACTGGAGGCTAAGGGGGTCCACCAAAAAGCATGCACAGAGAAGTCCAAATTAAACATGATTTAATGACTCGTAAATGTAAGTACACATTGATGGCCTAAGACACGAAACGAGCGGTTTGTGTGAGAAAACGAACAGTATTTATATCGTTTTTACCTCTTGTAATCCAAGCGATCTGAATCAGTTGTGCAATGTCCAACTGAACCGAACTGAATCAGTTCAATGTTACGCCGGAAGTGATCGCTTGCGTGTGACGTCACTCAATATTTACAAGGAGATTTCGGAAGTTTTACCTTTTACTAAACATATTTAGATATACCGAAATCGTCTTCCATTGCGGTTTCCCGTATATCTAAATATGTTTAGTGAAAGGTAAAACTTCCGAAATCTCTGTATAAACAAAGAGTGACGTCGGCGCGCAAGCGATCACTTCCAGCGCATGCGCAGACCGAAGCGCCCGTGCCATCAGATCACTTTATCATGGAGGTAAAAACGATATAAATACTGCTCGTTTTCTCACACAAACCGCTCGTTTCATGTCTTAGGCCATCAATGTGTACTTACATTTACGAGTCATTAAATCATGTTTAATTTGGACTTCTCTGTGCATGCTCTTTGAGGTGAACCGATTGAGGACCCCCTTCACCTCTAGTGTATGACTGATAGACAAGAACGGTTTGACCAAAAAATTTCAAAATTGAAAATGCTGTGGAAACAAAGACACCTACATCTTGGATGCCCTTGAGGTAAGATAAAACATATCAAAAATTAATTTCAAAGTGAACTATCCCTTTAATGTGATTTAACAGTAGTAATGTTATGGTGATGATGGTGGGGACTATGATAGAGGGGATGATGTCATGGTGAAAATAAAGAACTGTAATAGTAAATATGTTGGTAATGATGTGTTTGTGGGAGTGATGGTGATGAATAACGATAGTCATGATAATTATGGTGTTGATGGAGGTGATGGCAATGATGATAGCGATGTGGGTGGTAAAGGTGTGACCGTGAATGATGTTGATGTTCTGATGGTAAAGTGATGGTAATGATGTGGTTTTGGTGATAATTGTAAATTGAGCATGATGATGTCATGGTGTTGATGATGATGGAAGTGATGGTGAAGTGATGATGTTTATGATTAATGAAAGTGATAATGGTGTGATGGTAATTATTATAATGATGATGATGTCATTATGGTGATGCGATGGCAATGATGATAACGATGTGATGGTGAATTAAAGGTAGTGATATACTAACTGATGGTGGAGTACTGATGGAGGTGATGCTGATAATGGTGTATTTGTATTAATAATGGTTAATTAACGCTAAATTGATACTTATTTATAAGTATTATAATTCTGAATTGCACATATATATTCTATGATTTATCACCTAGAGCAGTGACAGAAATGACTTTCCCATTAGGAGTATTCTTTTTTTTTTTTAAGTTAATCTAAGAGTGATGTTTTAACCCTAACCCTAATGTCCAAAATCCTTGCTTTGCAAATTATGGATACAGTCAGCAAATCACCTTTATAAAAATGGTCAAGTATTTAAATCCAAAAGAAGCAATTATGGGATAGTTGACATGGTCTCTGCTAACACTTCAGGGCTACATTGTCGTAGTGTCTTTGGAAAACCCCAAACTCATAATTAGAATATTGTGAAAAGGTTTTCATAGCTGTAAGCCATAATCATCAAAATTATAACAAATAAAGTGCATCTCACTTTGCATGTAATGAGTCAATAATATATATTAGTTTCACCTTTTATGTTGAATTACTGAAATAAATGAACTTTTGCACGATATTCAAATTTTTCAAGTTTCACCTGGACAGATTGTGTCTGCTTCCTGGACACTATAGGAAGATTGTCCCAGAGTTTTGGTGCTAAATAGGAAAAGTATCTTCCGCCAGCAGTCGATTTTGATATTCTACCCAGATAGCAAACTGACATTGAATCAACGTGGAAATATGACATCGAAACAACGTTGATCTGACATTGTTTTGCTCATCGAATTAACGTTGAACCAACGTCAGACGCGTCATTCTTTCAAAACTAATGGAAAATCAACTTGAAATCAACGCGCTGTGAAAGCAAACCAATTTTCGATTTTCATTTAGCTTTGAAGAATGCCGCGTCTGACGTTGGTTCAACGTTAATTCGATGAGCAAAATCAACGTTGTTTCGATGTCATGAGAGACGTCGTTTCCACGTTGATTCAATGTCAGTTTGCTGTCTGGGTAGGTATCATCAACTGGCCGAAATTTTGAGATTGCAATAGACGTGAAGGACGATAATACATTAAGAGCTCGCTCAAGTACTGCGGAGCTAAACCATAGTGGTTTGTATTGTAAGTAAGTAGTTAGCAAGATTTTAAAAACCAATGCACTGCAGTGATGACAGAAGCGGGCTATGGTCATATGGTCGTACTTCCTGGTTATGTTTAAGAACTCGAGCGGCTGCGTTTTGGACCAGCTGTAGTTTGTTTATTAAGCGTGCAGGGCGGAGCATTACAATAATCTAGCCTTGAGGTCATTAACGCATGAAATAGCCTAATTGTTCCGCGTTTGTCACTGAGAGCATATTTCATAGTTCAGGTACATTTTTATGATGGAAGAATGCTGTCGTACAGATGCTATAGACGTGGCTTTCAAATGAAAGATTGGTATCAAAGAGCACACCCAAGTTCCTAACAGCAGATCATCCATCAAGTCTTAGACCGTATTCAAGGTTATTAAATTTTAATAATTCGAATCTGTGATGTATTTGATAGTACGATTGTGGTGATTTTATAGTATTGATGATGATGACAGCAATGTTTAAAGTCTCTGTCCTATGCAGGTCATGTGTTGTTTGGGCAGGTGGTGGATCACATTGACTCTCTGCTGGAGGAATGGTTTCCAGGCCTTCTCGCCACTGACGTCCATGGCACTGGGGAGACACTGCTTAAGAAATGGGCTCTGTACAGCTTTAGTGATGGACAAAACTTCCAGAAGATGCTGCTGGAAGATCTACTCTCCAAGATCAGCGCAGGTCTCTGTCCATTCTGTTCAAATTCTGAAACACAACTATTTTATTGATAATCTGCTGTATAAAAATGTGCTGTCCTAACTGGTTGCTTGTCTGCAAGATGGTTTGCTGGTGAACCCAGAAGACCCCAGCTGTACTCTGCCCATCTCTCAGATCTCACCGGACCTGGTACTGAGCGACCAGCTTCCCAGCACCATGCTGGATCCAGAGCAGCTGGAGATGGAGCTCTCTAAAGAGTATCTGTTGGGTGAGTACATGAATGAACCCATAGCCCGAGACACGTACAGTAATGTCTGTAGGACACCTTGTGATTGTCAAGAAAGAAAGTAATGCAATTAGAAACTAAAGGCCGATTTATACTTCTGCGTAGGGTGCGCGCGCGCAGTAGGTACGGCGTAGCATACGCACAGACACGTACCATACCGCGTATCCTTCGCCGTAGCCTGACGCGCACCTCCTCAAAAATGTAACTACACGTCGCGACGACGCGGATCGCAAGATCTGTGATTGGTCGGCTTGGTAGCATCGCATTTCCTCCTACGCATTTCCGCACGTACCATCTCCTCCGACGTCTTCTCTCGTTTCTGCTGTCAAATGATTAATCGCGATTAATCGCATCCAAAATAAAAGTTTGTGTTTACATAATATATGCGGGGGCACTGTGTATAATTATTTTATATATATATGGACCATTTCACAAGATGTAAACAACACTGGTCCAGAAGCACTTCCTGTTTCAGTTTGTAACTGTTTTCTTCATTTCACATGTAAAGAAAACATCTTAAAGATGTTTGTTTAACTTTTTGATTCAGTTTTAAATGTTCTGTTGGTTGTATTTTATCCCAGCTTTTATGTAGTGTTAAAAAAACTGAAACAGGAAGTGCTTCTGGACCAGTGTTGTTTACATCTTATGAAATGGTCTATAAATACACACACATGCTTGTGTATATTTACGAAATATTTTCATGTATATACTGTATAAATATTCATATATAGTTTATATTATATAAATATATATATATTTTATATATATATACATATATATATATATATATATAATTTATTTATATAAATGTATATATATATATACAGTATATACGTGTATATATATATATATATATATATAATATATTTTTCTTAAATATACATGCATGTGTGTGTATTTATATATATACAAAATAATTATACACAGTGCCCCCAAATACATTATGTTAACACAAACTTTTATTTTGGAAGCGATTAATCGCGATTAATCGTTTGACAGCCCTAGTAAAATGAACTGTTTTTCCACCTCAACAAGCTCCAACATGATCAGCTCTCTTTCAGTCGCCATTGCTTGTAGTAACCTAGCCGTGAGGAATCTAAACACAGTGGAACATTAAAACCCTCCGCCACCAACTAGCGTTTCGGAGCAGTACTGCAGAGCAACCAAGACCTGAACGCAGAAGTATAAATGCTCACGACGGCGTCGCCTACGAGCGTAGCCAATGGCGTACCCTCGACGCAGAAGTATAAATTGGCCTAACAGTCTTTTTTCTTCTTCCTGAAGGGGATGGTGGTTTCGGGTCTGTATATAAAGCGGTGTACAAGAACGAAGAAGTTGCTGTGAAGATTTTTAATAAACATGCATCTGCGCTTTATGTTCATCGGCTGGTACGACAGGTAAGATATGTGATGGAGAAAGAAACCAAGCTAGTTTTAGCTTGCACCAGAGAATGTCTAGTTGAAGAGAATTGGCACTGGCTGGTTACTTCCGGGTTCTGGACTGGCTGCCCAGACAGCAAACTGACATTGAATCAACGTGGAAACGACGTCTCTCATGACATCGAAACAACGTTGATTTTGCTCATCGAATTAACGTTGAACCAACGTCAGACGCGGCATTCTTCAAAGCTAAATGAAAATCGAAAATTGGTTTGATTTCATAACGTTGAAACAACGCGTTGATTTCAAGTTGATTTTCCGTTAGTTTTGAAAGAATGACGCGCCTGACGTTGGTTCAACGATAATTCGATGAGCAAAACAATGTCATATTTCCACGTTGATTCGATGTCAGTTTGCTATCTGGGTGCAGTCTCTGTCCATGCGGGGGCGCTCGCGGTCGAGTGCAGAATGAATGGGAGTCAATGGGGTTTCACCCCCAGAAATCCACTTTTCTCAGGATGTAATTTTTTGTAAAGTAATTTGAAAGTTGCATTCAAAAGGGAGGGCTAAGATAATACACTCAGCTGAAAATTGCATTTTTATTGCACTTATCTGTTTTAAAAATCCGTTCAAAAATGTGATGACGTCACACAATAGCAGAATGCTAGCGTGTTCCAGCCAACAACGGCCTAACCTGTAAGACATCGAAAGGACATAAGTACTCGTTCATTCGACTTTTGGCCTATAATCTATATTAAACTTGTGGAATCAACAATAAAATCTATGTTAATTTAACGACAAGGAGGTGAAAGAGACACTTTTAGCCGTTTAGCCCCATAGACTCCCATTCATTCTGCTCTCGCCCGCGATCACCTCCAGTGGAATTCTAATGGAACTGCAACCAGGGTGAATAGGAAGTGCCAAGGCTCTCCGTTAGACGGGCTGTGCTTGCACCTGGTTGGGACTTAAGCAAGCCGTACAAGTTGTGTCCTAGTTATAGCATCAGTAGGCTACATTGTTGGTGTATTTTCTTGAAAATGGTTTGTCCCCAGGAACTGGCAGTACTTGGCCGACTGTGTCACCCCAGTCTGGTGGGGCTTTTGGCCGCCGGTTGTAACCCGCACATTCTGGTGATGGAACTCGCCCCATGTGGCTCTCTGGACTCGCTGTTTGAGCGTGAAAATGGTAGTCTCAGCCGCAAGCTACAGCACAGGATAGCACTGCATGTGGCAGATGGCCTCAGGTGGGTACGCAAAAACGTAGTCCCCTTTAAAGCTACAATACCTAAGATTTTATGCCGCTAGAGGGCGCTACATACAAACAACAACAACGGATTTGCTTGATGACGCCGTGGAGGAACGCGGAATGATGGGAACTATTGTTTCCAACTCCACCGTGGATAAATCAGTCAGACTATAACTGTTGCGTTTATCGACATGCTTGTTTTTCATTAAACTGAAATAACCGCAAGAAAAGTAAGGTTTAAAAGTAAATTAGTTATCACAGATGTTAGGGGAGAGACGGGACGGTTGAAACACTTTTCAGATAAACGTCGTTTTCTAAGATACAGCCAACAGTTCACATTCCGAGAAGTATTCGCGGTGAATATGACCTTACGATTTTTCACATCATATGCATAAACAACAAGACATTCTAACAATAAATATAGCTGCGAGCAGCGATGGCGGGCCCAAGCCGGTGGCACCGCAACCCCGGTTCCTTTAGTTACCTAAAGGCACCCGGGTAGCGGTGCCGAAGGCTTTGGCCCTTTTATGATTAAATGTTAAAACGGCTTGCCATACTCTGTCATTTCGACTAGTCACAATTATGTTACAGATGTCTTAAATGATAATACAAACTATCCAAAATGTAATTACGAATAGACAGAAAGACGTTGTTGATATCTACAATGTTAATTCCGGACAGGCAAACTTAGCTTTTAAATGTTAAAAGGGCTTGCCATACAGGGACGTAGGCTCAGAGAGAGGCTCACCATATTCAAACCAAAATATCTGACTTCCTCTTGGTCCGAGCTAATGACTATGTATTAGAAAGTTGTCCGGCTTGAGGAGTACAATGTATATACCGATTTTTGTAACTGTAGATAAAACTAACAACCCCACTTTTGTCAAAAGGTGGCGCTATTTAGTCCTTGCACATTGCCCGTTTCTGAAACTTTGCACGTCTACTGGCTAATAAATGTGATGTATCTGTTGAGTTTCAAGCAATTTCAATTTCAATTTGACTGTTGAAAAGAAGTGCGCCGATTAGATACTCAGGATCGGTATCGGCTCTGACACTGCCATCTTTGACGAGGCTGATTCAAATTCTATATTGTGCATATACTATTCTATGTAAGGCACAAAGGCACAAAAACTTTCTAAAGTACCATAAAGTTTTTGTGTACTGTATTATTAGTGTTCTGAAGCTATTATGTGATATAGAAATTAATATTTAAGTCATTAAATTCAAGAACACAAACTTTTCCCTCTCTGCGCCTGTCAGTCATTCTCCATTCAGCATTCAAACAGCACGTCACATTCGGTTACAGTCAATGATGAAACGATCTTCAATGATTCAATGTTAATCCTATTATACTGGATCTTTAAGATAAAGGTCTAAAGGTCTATATTTTCGAATGAAGAAACTTTTTCTTGCTGGACTTTATTGCTGTAACTTAATCGTGTTACTTTCTACCGGGTGTCGGACGCTGTCGGTTAGATCACAACACTAGAGTCAGAGCACTATAATTGTTCTTCACGCACACAGTAACTGAAATTTAAAACCTTTAAAAGAAAAGGCTCAATAAACTATTGCATAGATAGATAATGTATAATACACTGTTCATAAATATGTATTTCCTTTGTGCTTTGAACTTTTCAATACGGACTCAATGCGCTGTAACTTCATGTGGCTTCAAGCACATCATTCTCCGCTCGGGATGCACATAAGTGCTTTGTGCTGCACCGTATTGGAGCCGTAATATCATAATGCAGTGACGTAATGACAGATTATTAATTGCCTTTCAATTATATGTTGCTTTATAGCAGCCATGGCTATATTTTTTTTTTATGATTTTTGTTATCTTGTTTTTCATGAATGTATTTTTCAAAAATAAGAGCAATGTGTATTATCTATTATTAATATGGTTTATAATAGCATTTTTGTCATAGATTATGACAAAGTAATCATATGATCCACCAGCGAGGAACCAGCAGAACAGAGTGAACATTCTTTCTGTTTAGTTCAATCCTACTTAATAGGAATTTATTTAAAATGCTCGCTCTACTCCACACCATTAATGTCTTGTGCGGACATCCGTATTTTGACTTTCGGTTTTAAGTAAGCGATTTAAAAGCTCCCAAGTCCCAGCGGAGTCACACGTTGATTAACCGGTGGGAATATACACAATAGGCCTAACTGACATTGAACACAAGAGGGCAGTATAGCACTACGTATGACTCAGATTATTTTTTCTTCTTCTGAATTTTACACCCATTCTGGCTGTTTTTGAACGTAAACATAATTCTTAAATGAAAAAAGGGAAAAACTGCTTTAATTATAATATTTGTATAATTTAATTTAGAAACAAATGATGTATAATTACATTTTTAGAAGATATGAGGCTTTTAGTGTTTACTTTTTTGACATTACTTTAATCTTTTGCCAAAGTTGCACATGCCTACTGGCTAATAAATGTGATGTATCTGTCGAGCTATCTGTATCTATCTGTTTCAAGCAATTTCAAGCATGCTAAGAGTCCCAAAAGTATCAAAAATGAATGTTAAAGTTTGATTTGTTGCCACAGCAACAGTATCAAAGATATCAAGAATCCATTCACAGGTCTACATCTGCTGTATTTTTACATTATACAGATGAAGTTTGAAGCAAATCGGTTAAAAATAAGAGGGTGATATCAAAGCATTTTGAAAGTGACACACTTCCTGCTGCCAGTTGGTGGCGCTATAACTTTGACTCACAATAGTCACATCCATGTAATCAGCCTCTTACAGTGAACACACTGCTGAAGTTTCATCAAGATCAGTTAATGTATGCTGAAGTTATAACACACTTCCTGTTTCACGTTTCTCGCCATAATTTTGTTTCCTCGCCACGGCCAAACCATTCGAGATATCAAAAATCCCCTCGCAAACTTTCATCCTCAATGCCTTGACTTCATGCTGACCGAGTTTCGTGCCGTGTGTTTGAATTCTCTAGGAGGAGTATTGCACATTCCACTGCGAGCGTTTTACAAACAAACCTCAATAGCCGACTTCCTGTTTGGCTGGGGTAAAAAGTAAGAGCGTGAGGTATAGATGAAACGATCAGATCAACATGTGTACCGAGTTTCATATTATTACATGCAAGCGTGTTTGATTTATGGACCAAGTGTTCGGACCCCGTTCCAGGGGGCGCTGTCTAGCCCCCCTGCCACACCCAGGTACCATCTTCAGCCCGGCTCTGATGGCTGTGGGATCTGACCTGTGTGCAAAGTTTCAAGAGTTTTCAAACCCGTTAAGGGCCCCAAAAGCCACTAAGAGTCTCAAAATCATAAAAAAAAAGAATTTTAAAGTTTGATGCGTTGCCACGGCAACAGTATCAAAGATATCAAGAATCCATTCACAGGTCTTCATCTGCTATGTATTTACATTATACAGATTAAGTTTGAAGCACATCGGGTAAAAATAAAAGGGTGAGTTCAAAGCATTTTGAAAGTGACACACTTCCTGCTACCAGTTGGTGGCGCTATAACTTTGACTCACAATAGTCACATCCATGTGATCGTCCTCTTACAGCGAACACACTGCTGAAGTTTCATCAAGATCAGTTAATGTATGCTGAAGTTATAACACACTTCCTGTTTCACGTTTCTCGCCATAATTTCGTTTCCTCGCCATGGCCAAACCGTTCGAGATATCAAAAATCCCCTCGCAAACTTTCATCGTCAATGCCTTGACTTCATGCTGACCGAGTTTCGTGCCGTGTGTTTGAATTCTCTAGGAGTAGTACTTCAAATTCCATTGCGAGTGTTTTATGAACAACCCTATATAACCGACTTCCTGTTGGGCTGGGGTAAAAAGTAATAGTATGAGGTATATATGAACGATGAGATCAACATGTGTACCGAGTTTCATATTATTACATACAAGCGTGTTTGAGTTATGGACCAAGTTTTCGGACCCAATTCCAGGGGGCGCTGTCTAGTCCCCCTGCCACGCCCGGGTACCATCTTCAGCCCGGCTCTGATGGCCGCGGGTTCTGACCCGTGTGCTAAGTTTCAAGAGTTTTTGAGCATGTTAAGGGCCCCAAAAGTGCCCGAATAGTCGTATAAATAATAATAATAATAATAATAATAATAAATATAGCTGCGAGCAGCGATGGCGGGCCCAAGCCGGAGGCACCGCAACCCCGGTTCCTTTAGTTACCTAAAGGCACCCGGGTGGCGGTGCCGAAGGCTTTGGCCCTTTCATGATTAAATGTTAAAGCGGCTTGCCATACTCTGTCATTTCGACTAGTCACAATTATGTTACAGATATCTTAAATGATAATACAAACTATCCAAAGTGTAACGACTAGACAGAAAGACGTTGTTGATATCTACAATGTTAATTCCGGACAGGCAAACTTAGCTTTTAAATGTTAAAAGGGCTTGCCATACAGGGACGTAGGCTCAGAGAGAGGCTCACCATATTCAGACCAAAATATCTGACTTCCTCTTGGTCCGAGCTAATGACTATGTATTAGAAAGTTGTACGGCTTGAGGAGTACAATGTATATACCGATTTTTGTAACTGTAGATAAAACTAACAACCAATGTAGTAGCACTTCTCTTTTTTTGATTGGCTGATGCGTAGCAGGGTCGACTGCTGAACTCCAGGCGAGACGCGCTTGATTCTCACGTGAGAGCGGCGCGGCCAGAGAAATTGCGTATATTAAATATATTATTAATAGTTTTTCCGCATGAGAAATACAATGTGTGACGGGAGTGTGAGACAAAAGACTGAAACGAGTGACTGTCATGCTCAATGCGTGACACACTATAAAAAAATATTTCACACTGACTCCACATTTAGGGGGCCACAAGGGGGTCCAAGCTTGTTGTCGCAGGGGCACTGGCCCCCCCAGGCCCCCGCCTAGAACCGCCATTGCTCACACACACACACACACACACACACTTTCTCTCTCTCTCAAGAAGCAAAAACATGACTGCTAAAGGTTGTATCAGCGATGGCGGGGTAACATCACT